ACCGAATGTTATAATTTCTTCATTCATTGTTACAAACTCTCTTTTTCTTCTCTCTCTCTTTTGTCTGTAGAGTTCACGACAAAGTATCCAGAATTAATACAGGTGGTGGTGCAGAATTCCTAATGAGTCTAAAATAATGGATTCTGCATACTCTGCAGATGGTTCCTTTCCACAACCAGCTTTTCCCAAAAAATCAGCAGTTGAAACGGGAATTGCTCCTCTACTTCCAAACCATAGCACCCGAACCTAATATTCTTTCTCACCAAATTGCTCTCTATATTTCTCTTGGAGGTATAGTATGCATTTTTATAGATTTCCTCTTTTTCTTTTTGTACTTTGAGATCCTCTTCCCCAACGTTTGTTTCAAATCTAATGTTAGGATCAAATCTCGGAGTCTCTCTTTTCCTTTCGCATTGAAGTCTAAGATATTTAAGAATCTCGCTGAGCCTTCCGTATCATCTACTAATAAAATTTTAGTAGATGAGGTTTTTTAAAAATTAATTTGCAAATCATAAAAAGAACCCTCAATCACTAGCGGATCCAGGATTTAATTTTGGGGATGGCTTCAGCCCGAAAGATTTTTTTTTTCATATACATATAACAATAATTAATTTGAAAAAAAAAAGAAAGAAATTAACTACCTCTATGAATCGGTGTTTAAGTGGTTCTTGAAGTCCTATTAAATGTAATTAAACGAACAAGAATACTTTTTAATATTTTTTTTCTGTAAAACATGGTTATATTTTACTATTTTGGAGAGGGCTTCAGCACGAAAGCACCTCCTCCCCGCCACCGTAGACCCGACTGTGCCCTCAACATCTCTTTTTACGCCACTTTCTTTTTTTTCCATTTGGATTTAAAACCAGGTGATTCCATTTTACCTATCATGTTTAATTTAGCTCAAGAACATTCCATTAGAGAAATGATATGTACTGAAAAAAAATTGAACATGGGTAGAAAAATACTGTATACTGTTTTCGCGTAGGTAGATATTTTGGAACTGTTAAGTGAAGCCACGGAAACTATAAAAATTAAATACAGATTATAAAAATTTTCCGCAATACGATTTTGGTGAAATGGATATTGAAGGGAATATGCTTAACGCGTAGAGAAATTTAGGTATTTGGATCGACGATAACTAGAAAAACTATTTTAAAGAAAAAATTTAGGCCAGTCCATAGGTGAGGAACCTTTTTGTCATTAGTGGCCGCATTAAAGTTAGGCAGTGATAATGGAGGCCGCAATCATAAGTAAATACACACACAAACGCACCCATATACATACATTCTACTTATTTTTCAAATTTCAAATATTAATTAATTTTAGCGCTAGATTAAATAATGTCTTCTAAAAACTAAAGGCGACCACAGGTTCAGGCTAAAGGCTGGAAATGGTATTTATTTTCTGTTTGTAAAATTACTTAGCTCGCACCTTCTATCTCGAAATTTACAAAGCTATTATACTTTTTACGGTTCTTTACTAAACTTGCGGTGCGAAATGTGGCCACTTATGTTAAGGAATGAACTACATCTTTGGGGTTTGGAAAGTATTGTCAAAATGTTTGGACCGAAGAAGGATAAGTTAACTGCAGAATTTAGGCCGCTACATAACGCCGAATTGTGTGATTAGTACTCGATGAATATGAATGAGATGGTAGATTCGTGGCTATCCAATCCACCAATGCCTAAAAGATTATGTGCACTGGGCCGACTGATAAGCGTTCGAGGGGTATACCGATGACAGATCTTGGTAGTATTTCAAATGTAATATTTTAAAATAAAATACTTTTTTTTTTTTGCTTTTTAAGTAGTAAAATATAAAATAGGTTGTTTATAACTGTATTTTCTTTTTAAAATAAAAAAAAGTATTTTTTCCGGAAAATTGAGGGGAAAACGAGAAGAGATAGAGTACGCAACACCACCATCAGGTAGAACCTCAATATTAAGCCGGCCAATGATGTGATTGAGGAGAATCGACTGAGATGGCTAGGACATCTTCTGCGGATGGAACCAAACAGAATAGCTAGCGAAACCTATCGATCTAAAGTAGACGGCAAGAGAGGAAGAGGACGGCCTAGAAGGAAATGGGAAGATGAAGTAAAGAGCGATTTTCAGAGAAGAGGTCTTCAATGGAACGATAGAAGGCGTCGTGTTGAAGACCGGCAGAGCTGGAGAAGGCTCTATAAACTTCCTCCTCACACTGCTTAATGAAGTTCAAGAGGATAGATTATGATGATGAAGAAAAAAAGTATTTTTATTTTATTTCCACGATACTAAAATACAGTACACCTAATACCAAACGATATCTAAAATGGATGAGAGTGTCTAGGCATTGATTGAACATTGAACTTTCATTTTCGCTAAGACTTTATCATTATTAACATTCTATTCATTTCTCCTTCTTTTTTTTCAGCATGGGGTGATAGGCTATCAGCAGATTTGGGATGGTAGAGGGGGGTGCCCGTTAAAATCTCGCCCCGGGCGCCGAAAATCCAAGCGAAGGCCCTGGCCAAAGTCATCGAATTAATTCGCCTCGTTATCTGCTCGACTATTTTTTTTTATTATTATTATTACAAGGCTTTAGCTAGACACCATTAGCCAAAATTTAATCATATGTAGGTAGGTACCTGAGATAGGATGATTAATTCTCGTAAATACAATTAAATACGTCTGGTTTTTTCAGAACGTCAATAATATCTTTGTAGTTACACAATCTTAAAAAAGCTGTTACCAATGGGGAGGGAGTTTTATTTTTCCAATATCTGTGTATTGGAGTATCCGATGCTAATAGAACAAGTTTATTATTTAAATCGCTATCCGCTGCAAGAATTTAAAAAACAAATTTACCACTCAAAGAGTTCCTTCTCATTACACTAGACAACAAAAAACAAATTTTTGAATGTTCCCAGCACTTCATGAGTCAATCCTTACTAATTTTGGGTTGAGAAAAACAAATATGATGATGAAAAATTTTTCTTAGCTCTAGTTTCTGTGATATACACTAGGTGGAACTATTTCATATAAACAGGTTAAGAGAAAAATATACATTTTAATTATATATGCTACCAACATTGAAAGTTCATTTGATTTTTCAAAATGGAAGTTACATTCTAAGAGTTCTAAATTGCAGGAAGAATACCTCAGATCAGATGGTCATGTCTGAATAGATTATGTGGTGGCTTCATGAGATTGTAGTCTTTTAGCTCCCTCACAAAAGGGTAGCAGATCACTGGGACGTTTTTTGTACTGAGAGATTCTGAAATCACTTTCTAGAAGATTCCAGAAAGAATTTCTGCATTCTCTTTTCACAGGCCAAGGTCTCTAATGAGATCACCCAACTCAGCTTGACTCAGTCTGTGCCGTTTATCATATTTTATATCAAAATCAGAGTCATGGGATGTAGAAGGCTTGTTTGGTTCTTCTTCTTGTTCCACACTCTTCATTTTCTACATCAAACACACAATTTTAGGGTGGAGTAGGAACTGGTAAACTATCTGAATGCAGAATGGGTCGAATAGCAGATCGAAGACTTGGGTACTGAACTGTTCTTTTCTTCATAGACAATCCAACCTTTGGTGGAGTCAAGCAGAAATATCAGTCATCTGTATGGTTTGTAGGCTCCCGCCAAATCATAGGTACAGTAAAAGCCATAGATCGTTTCTTTTTTCTCATCCATTCTTGCAGTGCAAATGAACATGCGTTGCAACATATATGTGGAGCCTAAGACTTATCCTGGTCCCCTACTTTAATACCGAAATAATGCTGATAGGCAGTCTTTACAAGAGGCATCAGACTTTGTTTCTGTGAGAAAAATGTTATTTCACCACAAATATAACAAAAATTATTTACATATTTTCGAGGAATTTTTACAAATTTTACACTAAACAAGCACTCTCAAACCAGAAATTCTGCATTAATCAAGCAGAAACTATTTGAAACTCACAATCACAGCAACAGTAACTATGTTTATGTCTTACAAACAGCTGAAGAGCATTTGTGGTTTGGTATTTTACAGGTGTAGCAGCTCCCAAAAAAAAATTCCCCTAAATTGAAAATGTTTACTCTTGAAAATGTTCAAGCCATTAATGTCGCAGCAAACAACAAGATTATTTTTCTTCTCAAAACCATAGAAAATGTAACTTTATCTCCAAAGAAAGAGCTAATCTATCATTTTTATGTTGACTTTTGAATTCAGCAGAAGGAAATACATATGAATTGACTATTTTTGAGACTGAAACATTTTCATTGTTGCCCAGTGTTATCAATGGGGGTTTTCCAGCTTTAACTAGAATATTATAAATCGGACTGCTATCAAGTAGGCCAAAGCTTATTCTGATAGATCTATAATGTATTCTATCTAGTGTAAGTAATTTAGTTTTTGCCACATTCCCATTAAAGGCAATTCATCGGTTGATTATTTAGAAGGGAAACAAAAAAAGACAGTTGGACAAATATCACAACAACGGAACCCTGTTTAGGTTATAGCAAAGCTCCTAGAACTTGGGTAAGAACAATGTGTAGATTGAGTATTAATCATGCTATCTCAGGCACCTACCTACATATGGTTAAGAGAAAAGATAAAAGAGATCAGTTGGAAAGGTAATAAAACTTGTGGTATAAAGGATTATACAAACATTATTATTTTTTGTAGATAATAAAAAGTTTATTGTAACTAACATAAGCAACAAATAAATATTTTTAACAATTATTTATACATTTACATAACAAAGAAGATTTTATACATAAAAGCTATATGTCTGTTGTCATAATTCTAATAAAATTAAATATTTCATGTTTTATGATGTCATTTTCAGTATGACAGACAATAAAAAAACATTATTGTTCTATAACATTTATTATCCTAACAAGCAAATAACATTATTGTAAAAATAAATAAATACAGTTATAAAATTACTAAATCACAATAAAAACTTCAAGTAATCATATAAATCAATAAATGGTTTAATAAGGTAATATTTTTTATCTTTTTTAATTGCAATATTAACTAATTGAGACATTAATACCTTCTCGTAAGATATCTACTTCATCTTGAAGAGTTTCAAATGTTATTAGCTGCAGTAACTGTAATAAAATGGAGGAAAAATAAGTAATACCAAAATAATTAAAATTAATCTGTAATATTGCAAAAACATAAATATAAAACTAAGTTTTTCAAGATTTGGCCCAACAGGCATTAAAATATTTAAAATAAAGGATATTTAATAATTAGAAACATATCAGAAAGAAAGATTGTAAAAATAATTCACGGCACAACATAATAGGCAGTTAGTGGTGAATAAGGAGTTCCACAGATATAGAAAGTTTGCTGAAAAATGAGAAAATAATTAGATTCAAAAAGTAAGTTGCCTTGGATGAGACATCATGTAGCCAGAATGGGTGAAGATAGCTACAGAGAAGAATGCTAAAGATGAATTTTAGTCAGAGAATTTTAGAAAGGAAGACTGAGAAGCAGACGAGGAGATGAGGTGAAGGATTTAAGCAAATTGGGTGCTTGCAACTGGATCAATGAAAGCACCGTGCAGAGGAAAATGTAAGAGGATTACTCTGGTGGCTAAGGTCCACCTAGATCTGTAGAACTACGGAGTTAGTAAGTTTAGTTATAGTTATAGTCAAAATACTTATGTTTAGATAGATAGACATAATTAGAGAACAGATTTTCATGCTATTGCACATTTTATTCGCTTGTGGGTAAAAAATTCAAACCCAACAATCTATCCATTTCACGATCTGTAGAATAGCATATCGAAATTTGATATTGCACGTTTTGCTGTTTTTGGCATAAATTGCATGATTTTGACTTTTGTTGAATCAAATTGCACATTTTTACAGTTATTTGTGATATTTATAAATCATTTATCATTAGATGATTTATAAATATCAATATACATGAGTGTGTGATTGTTTAGCTTTTTATTTTACTATCTATTTCATGTTAAGTTTATGATTTAAGATAAAAATATATGAGGAAGGTAAATATTGCTGTGACTGACAACAGTTAGATTTTATTTTATTTATTTTAAATGACATTTACAACTGTATACAAAAAAATACATCTAGTAAATTTGCACATTGGTATAAAGACATGGAACACATGTTGAGAAACTTCCCACAGTTAGATTTTAAGCTTACACAAGGAAGAAGTGAACAGAAGTGGGAAATACTCTTAAAATAGAACTTGCTTAAAATATTGTATAACAATAAAAAACTGCCTTATTACAATCAGCTATTTGTTAGAAAGAAATTTATTGTTATTGTTTTCCCTTGAATTCTCACTCATTTTTCAGCCCTTCGGTATCCCTTATGGCTTTGAAGTGAACTGTAGTAATTTCATTATTATTAAAAATTAAGAACAAAAATTGAATAATGCTGAAAGTAGTCTTCCTTCAAAAATTAAAATATGGACATCAAATTATCCTGAGTTAAAATTTGATAGGAAAGATCTTCTGTATGCCCTGTGAAAAATCAATTGGTGTGACAGAAAATCCCAGATATACAGGTAAGAACAAATATTTCTATTAGAGAATTGAATCTCTTTTTAGTGATCTAAAACATCAGCATCAACACTAATATTTGAACGATTGAAAATTTCAAATATTGCAGTGTATTTTTTGTTTCCTAAAAAATTTGTACAGATTTCATTTTCAATGTTGAATTTTATTTTTTTTCTTACTGCACATTATCTTAACACTTAAAACAAGGTTTGATCAGATTTCGATGTATTAGTATTATTTAATAATAATATTAAACAAAATCGATAATCTTTGCACATTTTTAGATGTTAACTACATAATTTTAAATATTTTGGGTTTTTACTGTACTATTTTGCACATTATGAGTTTTTGCTGCACTTTTTTTTTTTTTTTTTTTACTGCACGATTATCAGGTCTCTAGACATAATGAATCAGAAAATAACATGAAAGATGTATAAAGGTTATCTAATTAATGTAGCCAAGGAGCTAAAAGGTGTTAGGAGTAAACATAAGGGGATTAATAGTTAAATATATAAATATTTCATTGTAAGAAAAGATATGAATTTATTTTAAATTTTAAAGTAAAATATATTTTCTTACCTTAGCACCTTCGATGATTTTTTTGGCATGTTTTATAGGGAGATAATAAACAGATTTGGCTAATGTTTCTGGATCACTTTTTGCTATCATACTCAAATCTTTGAACCCAGCATTGAAAAGGAGTTTCGCTCGTCCCTAAAATATCAAATCTTTACTCACAGCTTGAACAACAAAATGTTTAAACAAAAACAATAAAATTATCAAATCAGAATTAATTTGGTATTCTCCTTGGATATTCTTTTTAATTAGATAGAGATTATTTCATTTGTTCAGTAGATATAACATCATACAGTAAAACCCTTCTTATTCGTTCTAGTAGGAATTGAGACTAGCTAGAGAAAATCAGTTAATCTGGTGTATATAAAGGGGAAAAATCCAATCTTAATTAGCTTATATATTAGGTAAAAAACATCTTTAGAAAAATAATTTAATTACATGCTCAAATGAATGTTCAGTTTTTTATAGCACTAGTAAAATCAGTTATTATTTTTTATCCATCAGTTATTATCTACATCCATTGGAAAGCTGAGTTATAGCTATTTTATTCCATAAAAATAATTTTATATTTTATACCTTAAGATAAAAATAACAAAAAACTCAAACATTTTTATTTTATATCTTCAGTTCTAATTTTTTTACAGAGTTTGGGTTTGTGCCATTTTGTGTAGTCTACAGAGTCCTAAATCCCTGAGATTGTGTGGATAGGTAATAATCTTGAAGTTATCAAAATCTCAATTTAATTTATCTCAGCTATTGCCTTACAAGGTCTTATGACATCGTGTATATCATGCATGATATTACTGGATGTATTTTTTGTGAATAATAAATCTAAAATACAAGGATTATTTTTCTTTTTGGACCAAATTAGGACAACATACCTGGTGTGAACCAAATCTTTAATATGGATATTCAGCCAGTTTAAAAAATAATATTACCATCAGTAGATAGCTACAAAAACATCCGGATCCAGTAAGAACTTTGAATTGAAGGTGAAAATCATGATACGAAATTTCGATTGCTATAAAATTTATATATAAGGGTTTACTAAGGTGGAAAAATACTTTTTTTCTATATATATATAAACGACTTTATTTACAACACTTCATGGTCATATGTCGTATATGATCATCTAATCCCTGTAGCCATTTATTTTTATAGTAACAGTCTTCCTCCCGGAGACCCCTTGCTGCTATAGCCTCATCTAAACCTTGCAACCATCTCTTTTCCGGGTGACCTCTCTTCCTCCTTTCCAATAGTACATGCTGAAGTATTCCTTTAGACCATCGGTCGTCAGTCATTCTCATTACATGCCGAAACCAACTCTGCTTTTTTGTCTTAATGGAGTATAGGTTGTTGAGGGGTTCATTCACTTTATCCCTAATGGTATTATTTGGAACATGTAATCTTGATATTCTACAGCTATGTCTCTAAAAATCCACCTCCATAGATACCAATTTTCTTGCTGAGTCGGTTGAAATCACCTAGGTTTCTGAGGTATATAACACAGTGCTTACAATAAAGGAATGGTATAATCTCTTTTTTGTTTGGAGCATGACTTCTTTATTCCATAAATAGAATTTAAAGTGTGCATGATCTTTCTACCTCTGATGATTTTTTCATCAATATCTTTCTTGCTGTTGTTCCCCCATCTTCTGCGGAAGAAAATATTTAATGTGGTTGGGAGGTGCTTATCGGGCATAACATCTCCAATACAATTACCATTCATCATAGGCGCAAACTACGAGAAGCGATCACCCCCCACCCCAACTAAAAAGGTTGAGGGGTGGAAAATATTGTTTCGCCCCTTCCGAATAATTTGAAATAAAAAAATTTCAAATTGATAACAAATCAGATACATGAATGAAAAAAATATGTAAACTAAAATCAATTAAGGAAATTCGACTAGGCAAAGGTATTCTTACTATAGACTGCAAATATGGATGTCTGCCACCCTAGATAGGTTGCAATAATGTGTGTCAAAAAAGTTTTGTTTGGAAAAAGGTTCCATCCGTCATAAAATAAGTCACTTTTTAGAAAATATGATGATTTTGATGACTCATAAAATTTTAATAATAATAGAAAATAACTTTATTCTGGGACAAAGTCCCTTTAGAATAACAAAATAGAACATAATTAAAATACTACATCTGGCCAAAATAAAACAATAATAAAAAAGAGAAAGTAAAGAAAATATTAGTTAAACAGCTATATACAAAAAAAAAAAAAAAATCTATCAACAAAACACTTAAAACTATGATAAAACACTTAAGACTATGTACAGTAGGAAAAATTAAAATTATACTCTTTTGAAAAATAAAATAATAAAAAATACATTGAGTTCTTCCTTAAAATGAGGTGTGCTTCTGCCAACAAAGAAAAACAAAGCTGACAATATAAAATATCAGTGTCTTTAAATAATGATTAATATGTAGACTCATCATTGTCAAATGCTAGAGGTACAGATTTAATTATATACCAATAAAAAATAATAATAAAAATAAAAGTAAAAAACAAACAATAGATGCGGTCAGTGGCATTAAGAGCCGTAAAATATTGTAATATCCCTAGTGAAGTTCACAGTATAAAATAGCACTATCATTTGATGATGACTAGAAATGTATAATATCGAAAGTTTAGCAAGTATCTGACTGTTTTTGGGATAGGAATTGGAATAGGAGGGATTTGAATGTGGATATGGAGGGAGAATGCCGAATTTTGATAGGTAGAGAATTCCAGAAGTTGACAGCGCGAGCTATAAAGGAATTCTGAAATGAGGCAGATCTGTGCGAAGGGATGTAGAGGTCAGAAGGTCGAGATCTTGTTGAAAGGGAATGGACTGAGGACTTGAATTGGAGAAGGTTGTAGGCGTAAGAAGGACGATGGTTGTTAATGATTTGATAGAGGAACGTACCTAGAAAATATTGTCTTCTAAAGGAGGGGAAGAGCCACCTTAACTCAGTGTAGTGGTGAGATACATGGGAGTACCTCGGGGCACCGATAACAAATCTTACGCAGCTATTCATTAATCTTTTCAGTCTATCATGGAGCTCCACCGAGAGGCCATCATACACCACACAGCTGTAGTCAAAGTGGGGGAAGATGAGAGAGGAAAATAGGAGTCTACGGGTATGTTGAGGTAGGAGATGGCGGAAGCGATGAAATAGTTTAAGGGTAGAAATTGTCCTACGGGAAATGTGAGAAATATGGTAGTTCCAGGAGAGGGTTTGATCTATGAAAAATCCTAAATTTTTAACAGAGGAGTAGAAGTAAATTGGCTGGTCATTAAGGTGTAATATGGGAAAGTCAGTATGGGATCTAATAAGGGGCTTGGAACCAATGACAATGGCCTGAGTTTTGGCAGCATTTAACTTTAATCCATTTACATTTGCCCAGGCACTGATTCGATCAAGGTCTTCTTGAATCTTGGCAAATGCTACCAATAACTCAGAGGGAGAAAAGGATAGGTAGATCTGGGAATCATCTGCATAAAGGTGGTGGGAACAATGGAGAATTGAATTATGAAGGTCGTTAATGTAGGAGCTGAAAAGGAGAGGAGATATGCTTGAACCCTGGGCAACTCCGGAGGATAAAGGAAGGTAGGCAGATAATGGTTGATTGGGTATGGGGACTGCTTGGGTGCGTTGGGAGAGGAAAGATTGGAACCAAGAGATGGAACTATTGGAGAAAGATAATGATTGTAGTTTGTTGAAGAGGATGGAATGGTTGATGGAATTGAAGGCTTTGGAGAAGTCAAGGAGTATAAGGACAGTTAATTTTCTATCATCTATTGCAGATTGAATGTCATTGGTAATTTTAATTAAGGCAGATTGTGTGGAATAGCCGGGACGGAAACCAGATTGGAGAGGATCAAATTGGTTGGACTTTTTTCGAGGAACTTGGAGACTTGGGATTGCACCAGTCTTTCAAGAGGCTTTGAGAGGTTAGAAAGAATTGAAATTGGACGGAAATCTTCGGGTGAGGATGGATTAGGCTTTTTATTTAAAGGAAGAACAATGTCTTTTTTCCAAGAGGTAGGGAATACTGAATTCTGAAGGGAGAAATTGTAGATAAAAAGGAGAGTTGGAAGGATTTCAGGGAGACATATTTTTATCAATTTGACAGGGATGCCGTCTGGCCCTATGGAATTGGTGTGGGATTTCATTACCGCGGTTAACAGGTCTGTGGGAGAAATGTCGGAAAAATAAAAGTTATTGTCGTTAAATGATATCTCTGGAGAAAAGCCGGAAGAGGAAGGTAGAGAAGAGGTATTAGCGACAGATATAAAATAAGAGTTTAAATCATCGGAGGATACAGGAAAGGCTGCGGTAGGGGATCTGGAAGGATTAAAAATGGAAAGTTTACGAAGCAGTAGCCATTTCGATTTGATATCAGGAGCTGAGGAAAGGGTTTCATGGAAGTAGGAAGCTTTCGCACGCCGGATCCTTGTCTGTGCCAAGTTGCGAAGCATCGTGAACGCTTGGTAGTCATCTGCGAGCCTAGAACGTCTAAAACGTCTTCTTGCAGCGTCACGCCTCTTCTGCAGATCTTTGATTTCCTGACACATCCAAGGAGCAGGCCGGTGACGAAAGGTAGAGGTTTTGAGGGGAGCATGGGTATTGAGAATATTGAGAAGATTGGTGGTAAGAATGTCAACCATGGAGTCGATAGAAAAGCAGACATATATTCCATTCCAATCTAGGGTTTCTAGGTCAGGTGATATTTTTTCTCGAGTAAGGGTATCTAGGTGTCAGAAGGTGATAGTTCGAGGCTGGATTGAAGGAGTTCGGATATTATATGTTATTTGTATAAGATCGTGAGATGATAGGAATGATACTGGCAATTGAGAAGAGGAGAGGAGATTTTGTGCAGAGTCTATAATGTAGAAGTCTAGCCAAGTGTCGGACCTGCTGGTTTGGTGGGTGGGGGAAAATGGAACGATGAAGAGGTGCAGAGAGAAAATTAGGTTTTCTAGATAGGATTTGTCATTGGAGTTAGAGAGGAAATTGGTATTGAGGTCACCGGAGATGATTATTCTGGGATATAGAGGAACGAAGTTGAATAGGGTTGTTTCAAATGACTGATGAAATGGTACATGGGGAGGACGATATACCACAGTGTAAAGGAGAGAAAGATCCTTACAATGGATTTCTACTAGAAGAAATTCAACTTGAGGATGATCGGAGGGTGGTGAGGAATCGAGTCTTCAGGCTATTATGGACAAACATGGCTACTCCACCGCCATTCCGGTTTACCCGGTCATGATGGAGGAGGGTGTGATTAGGCAAGGAAACAGAAGAGGATGGGATGTAAGGTTTAAGCCAAGTTTCAGAGATTGCGATAATATGATAAAAGTTTTGAGTGAAATATTGCAGGAACTCGTCATAGTGAGCAGGGAGGGATTGAGAGTTAACATGACAGGTGATTAGGGTACTAGACATGAGAGGAATTGGGAGGGAAACAGTCAGAGTTGGTAAGAGAAACTCTAAAAAAAATAGAAAATACGAAAAGGCGTTTACAATTAATGAAAATAGCAGAAAAGAAAGTGTAAGCAGAAACCAAAAAAAAAAATAATAAAAAACATATGGTCAATAAAATATAAATTAGTGTGTAAGTGTGAAGAGATATCTCTATGCGTAGAAGTGAATTTGTTCCTTTGTGGATAATTGAGTTCAAAGTTATTTTAATGAGGATGAGGAGTAGACGAATTCTTCGTGGTCAGGCAAATATATCGAGGTCTGAGGCCTGTTCAATCAGAATAACTTTATGCCCGTCCTCCTTCCGACATCACACCTTTCCGGCGGCAAACCACGTATATTTGATTTTTCCCGCAGCTCTCTTCTGTCGGGCAAGCCAATATAAGTGTCTGTTCGTGGGAGTCATTTCCTCACTCAGATATATCCGGTGACAGTCATTCTCCTGCCAGCTGATATCCCGAGTAGTGAGGTCCCTCTTGACTTTCCTCTTCGTTATTAAGTTGTCTCTGACTGACTGTTTGATTTTATTGCAACTTATCTAGGGTGGCAGACCATTAACAGAACACGGCGGATCTAGACTGAGAGGGCGACAAACATCCCTGATGTTTATGAAACAAATGATTCAGAGAAACATAGTGAATAGCCTCGGAACTGGACAGATTAGACCGAAACGACCTGGCATGGATAAGGATATGTGACTAGGCACATGGAACGTGAAATCACTCACCGGGAAAGAAGTTGAAATTATCAAAGAAATGATGACGTACAGACTGGCCAATCTTGGGTTAAGTGAGTTGAAAAAGAAAGGCTCTGGATAGAGGACATACCCTAGTATATTCAGGAGTCCTCCCAGGACAAAAGCCCTCCACATTGTACAGAAAAACTGGACTATCATCGAACCTCACACCACCTTTAACCTCTCCTCATACCTTGAATCCCTTGAACTTTGTGGCAGATCTGGATACCTCACCTTCCAAGGAATATTTTTTAATCAGATTTCAGGACTAGCCATGGGAAATTCTTTAGTACCAGATATTTCCAATATTGTTCTCAACGACTTTCTATACTCTGTTATCCCTTCTTTTCATCAAGACATCATTTTCCTCAATACTTCTAAGTTAGTTCTGCAATGCATTTTACTTGTATGTATGTTTTACTTCATCCATTTTTTTTCCCTTGTATCCATTCATATCTTCAAATTTTAGATACTGTAATTTTCTAGGTTTTTCCCCATTACACAAACAAGTCAGCAAATTCCCCAATACCTGCCCTTACCCTGGTTTTCCAGTTCTAAGTGAAACTCCTAACTGAACACACCTGTAAGTCTCTAATTTTATTTACTTATTTATTTAATCTTGTAGGTTTCTTTTTTCTTATCTTTCTCCACATTCCTTTATGTCTATTATTTCATATTATATCCTTTTTCCTTTTCTTTCAATCTCTCCAGTAGTTCTGTAGAAGTATATTCATATTTGCATATGTTATATATTACACTACAACAATTGTTACCATCTATTTACTTCAGTTTAGGAACTTGTTACTTAGCTTTGCTCTGTTTATATTTTAATGCACTTACTGTTTAAAATTTTAATAAGCTTATTCACATTGTTTATAATTTTTTTGACATAATATAATGTAACTTCCACAATTCTCTATCTTTTTGTATCTTGTCCGTTCTAGCCCTCAAGAAGACCTGCAAAATTGAAACGTTGGCTTTTAATAAAATAGTTTTGCTACTATTCAGCCTATTTATGACTGCCACCCAGGACCATCTCCTTCCTTTTATAATGCAACGGTCAACTATTAAATATTCAATACTATAAAATAACTTTCTCCGCCACTGAGAGAAGTGCCAATAGTGTCAGATTATTTTATTTATAGCCATGACATCAGGAGGTACTTCACAGATGTGAAAGTTATTAGAGGTACAGAGGTAGGAAGCGACCACATGCTTTTTATAGCAGATACCAGGGTGCTAAAGGAGTGCAGAAGGAGTGAAGAGCTGAGGGCGCAAGTCAGGGAAAAGAAAACTGCACGGAAGGACTAATGGCAAGACAAATCACCAGATAAATGGCAAATATATGTAATGGCTCGAAATAGGACAAAGGAAGCTGTAAGAAGAGCAAAGCAAAAATCGTGGAAGGAATTCGAGAAACTAAATCAGGATCATGCGGAGAACATAAAACTAATTTGGAGGAAAATTAAAGCCTTAAGAGGATGCAAAAGTAAACCCATAAGAAATGTAAAGAATGAGAATAGGAAGGTGATCATGAAGGAAAAAGCCATTCTGGAAGTTTGGCGTAAATATTACACCAAGCAATTTGGAGCAGATGATATGTACCCAGTGAACCCAGAAGGACAATGGAATGAGGCTGAGTTTGACGAGGTGATAGAAGAGGATGAAACAGAAAGAGATATCTCGAGAATGAAGAATGGGAAAGCACCAATACAGGATAATATGATGGCAGAATTTAGAAATATCCAACAGAATTAGCAAAGCAAATCCAGTCGAGATTTGCAACACTGTTGTAGGAAAGGGAGAGGTAGACAAGAATGTCAAGCTCCATATACTCGTATTTAAATCTGTGTACCAGCCAATACTTCTATATGGAGTTGAAAGCTGTATATTAACAGAAAGGCAAGAGAGTAGAGTCACTGCTGCTGAAATGAAGTTTCTGCGAAGAACAGTTGGTAAGACTAGGAGAGACCAGGTAAGTAACTAAAATATACACCAGGAGCTGGGGGTCGCCTCATTGAAGGAGGTTCTGCAAATCCGCCAATTTAAATGGTTTGACCATGTAATTAGGATGGAGGAACATAGAGACCCATTGAAGACGATGGACTACGCTCCGGATGGCAAAAGACCTCGAGAACACCCAAGAATGTCATATTTTGAGTACATCGATAGACTCTGCAAAGGAAGAGGAAAAGATCTCCGTCAAGCCAGGAATCTGGCAAAGAACAGAGAAGAGTGGAGTTTGTGGCTGCTCACCTCCTTACACTGAGAGGCACGAAAGGGAGAAGCTAAAGAAGAAGAATAAGAAGGTTATTTGTATGGATTCTTTTATTTTTCATATTTTATTGTCTCCTGGATTATTTATTTCTTCACATAATCAACAGAAAAAATTATACTATTTTTGCTAAGGCTACTGTTATACATTTCCATGATTTTTTAAATTTTTTATTAATTGGTTTATCAGATTTTTTTTTAATATTGCGTTTCTCTTATATATTGTTTTGGACACTTCATAAATTTAATACATACATTTTTATATGACATCTTTCTAGCCAATTTTATCTTTCAAATTCGAAGTATATTTTTCCAATTCATTATTATACAGGCAAATATTTAAAGGGATGACAGCAGACTTTAAGAGCTAAAAAAAGTTTACATAAACAATGGTCTGATTTACCACAGAAAAGTAGGAAATAACTAAAAGCAACCAACAGGTTTCTTCATTTTAAATATAAATATTAGGATTAGAAACATTTGGTTGGTCACTTATAAATACAGATCAATCCCTATAATAAAGATCTTAGTAAAAAATACAGTTTTGTAATTACTTTAAAAGATAAATAGTCGGAAAATCATTATTTTTAACATTATTTTTTAAATAAATAAAAACTCTATTTATGCATTTATAGAAAAAACTACATTCTATATCATAGAAAAATAGAAAATGAAGATGTGTGATAATTTATCATAGTTATGGAACATAACAGTCAAATAATTAATAGTCGTTCAACCCATAATCAACCATTGATATAATAAATAGGATTTTTGTTATTTTAATTTTATTAATGATTTGTTAGATGTGAGCTTTAAGTTTCTGCCCAGTTAAAAATGCACTTCAAAAATTTTATAATATCCCAACATTGCCAGAAAAGAACTTCTGTTTAAAGTAGAGCGGTAAGTGAAAGTTGTGTGTTGTGCGCACCAGATTTTTTTTTTATTTGAATAACTTTTTTTTTATTAGAATACAAAAGATTTATTTTCTATTTTTTTTTAAATAAAATTTGCCCAACTAACCTTTAGTTAGTTAAGAAGCCAGCTTTATCAAGAGTGGGTGGTTAGAATGTGATTACTTGGATACTCAATGAGTATTACTAAATGGATTTTTGGTGTAACTTTAATTAACTCATGCAGGAATGAATATTTGTGTCATGAACATGTGTGAGCTGATAAAAAATATTACATTTCTATTAATTGTAGCCTATCTTTTTTTAATATATATATATATATATATTCAGATGGTAATTATAAAAGACTAGAGATTGTTAAGCATTTTTTAAATTTTATAAGTAGTAATAAAGGTGTTATTTAAAGAGTAATTTCATTAGAATATTTTCCTTAAATACCAAAATAATCACCTAACCTATGAGGCTTAGCAAAATAAAGAAACAATCAAAAGATTGTTTGATAATGCTTATTAATCGTAATTTTTAGAAATATAAACACAAGTACATCCTTCAATAACAAATCAAGTCATTAATAAACAAGACATTTAATGAAGTATAGTAATTTAAGATTTAAAATTATAAACATGTATACAAAATATTGTAGAGATGAATCAGATTAATTTTATAAAAATTAGCATCGCTTACCTTGTTTACAGAAGGCAATTCTAGAAGCGGTAACAACTCAGGAGAACAGCAGAAACCAAGTTGTTGTGGAAATTTTCCAAGTAAATCAACAAAACATTTTAATTCTACCATAACCTTCAAAAAATAAATCGAATATTATGAACAAGTTATAATATTATAACACAACTAAAAATTCTTTTCAATAGGGACTGGATTTAAATCTATTTATATAAATTGTTTTTGAAGCCTTGTACATCCATCATCAACACTTCATTTTACATTCCTTACAATTTAAAAGCAAATGAAACATATTTTATTTGACACATTAAGAGAGTAACTACATATTATCATCCATATTTAGTCAACCAAGATAATCCATATTAAAAAAAAAAAAAAAAAAAAAAAAATTAAAAGGTAAATTTCTTATTTCTAAAAGTATTTTAAAAGGTAAACAAAAATTCAATGAATTTTGGGAGTGGTACAGCAACCCACATGCTTGAGCCAAAAATTATACCTAATTAAATTTACCTTGAAAGTCTAAAGCCATTTCCGCTTAAAAATATGCCCTGAATATATGTCCTAGTGAAATTTTTATAATTTTGCTTAGTCTGTAAAATGCCATAAATCAAATTAATACCAAAACCAATAATAATTTTAAAATATATTAGTAAAATTTTCAGTAAAACTTTTCATGGAGATAGTGGTTTTGTTTTGCGATAGTTATAAAAAGAATGTGGCAAAAGTTAATCATTTGGGCTAATAATGTTAGTTCAATTTTACACAATAAAATAAGTAAAAGAAACAAAAATCTGAAATAGAACTTAATTTTTCTACATCAAAAAAATTAAGCTAGAATCTCACAAATCTACTTCTAATACTGATTCATGGCGTGTTTTTTGAGAATGACTTTGTATAAATTAAAAGAGGTTTTAGAAATGTAATTATAAGGGGAGCAACTCTAGTCAGAGGTCGCTGATTTCAATCAAATATTCTTTAAAACTATTGGATACATATCCCAACATTCGTTTCAATGGACCCTATGAGCCTGAGAAAAAAAAATTTATATAATTTCAAACAAAATTTGTTATTAATTTTTACCTTTGCTTTGCCCGAACGTTTAGGTTATTATATATCAATTGACTTCATTGTTTGTGTTGAATAAGAAAAAATATTTAATATGGTATTAAATGGGTTATAATGTATAATAAATCACGAAAATCAGAAGGCTCTTCCTGTAAAGCAGGCCAAGGAAATTTTGGTTATGAGAAAGCAAGTCATTTTTAGTGTCCTTTAAAATTCTTGAATACAAATCTTTATAGACAACAAGATATTAAATTTAAGGATTTGATTTTTTAGTAGGATTTTTTCCAGCTGATAAATACAGCATTCATTACAATTATTACTGATTTACTGCTCTTCCAACTCACATCAATAACTTTTACATTTAATTCCTTTTTAGGCTAGAAATTAACAACAATATCTCAAAAAAAATTATTTTATTTCTTACATTCTAATTTGTTTATGGAGGTTGGTCTGTACTATTTTGTCACTTTTAGAGCACTAAATCCATAATAATTTTCATGTGAATCTGTGGAGCCATTATGAATGACAATTTTTGTTGTCGCCAACAAAATTTCAAAGGATTCAACCTAGGCAAACAAATTTAATTTTTGTTTGATAAAAATTCTTATTAAAGGGTTTTGTGAGGTTTGAAAAATTAATATCAACTTTATTTCACCCTTAAAATATATTTTCTCTTACATTTTAACATCGGTTGGTCTAAATTGTTCCCATATTGTAGCTATCTGCCATATATATATATATATTTTAAACTGGTCTTGTATCTAGAGTAAACATTTTTTTAGGAAGAAACAAATTTAATATTCGTTTTTCACCCCTCAAAAAACCCTTAAATAAGAATTTTTATAGCAAATGAAAATTAAAATATTTGGCTAGGCTGGATCTTTCGAAATTTTGTCAACAACCACAAAAATTGTCACAAGTTCAGGATGGCTCTACTGATTCACACAAAAATTATAAGGGATTTATATAAAACACAAAATGGTACAGATCCGACCTCCATAACCAAATTAGAACTAAAGATATAAAATAAAAAATATTTTAGAAGCTTTTCTTAATTTATAAGCTTAAAATTATAACATAAACTTAAAAAGGAAAGAAATCTAAAAGTTATTGACATGAACTGGAAGAGCAGTAAATCAACTTTCCAACAATTGTACAAACGTTGTATTTGGAGAAAATCTTGAGAAGTTTTAAATGCTTTAGTTAATGACCGGAAAAAAAATCTAAGAAAATCAAGTATTAAAATTTGCAATTTTTGACACTAGAACACTAAAAACGAATCTAACTTGCATTTTCATGATAAAAATTTCCTTTGGCCTACTTTGTTCTTTGTAATTTATGGTACATTATAACTCATTTAATACGATATTCCATATTTGTTTCTTATTTTGCAAAAAAATTAAATTGGTTGATATATAAGAACCTAAAAGTTTGGGCAAAGCAAATAACATAATTTTTTTTTGAAATTACATAAAATATTTTTCACTTTAACTTACCTATATATGTAATATATAGTAAGGGAAAGTATCACGATCGTGAAAATTTTGGAATCTGATTTTTCAACAGAAATACACATTTTGAGGTTTTTATTGCCCAATGTCGATATAATAAATGGATTTTTGTTATTTCAATTATCTTAATGATTTATTAGCTGTAAGCTTTAGCTTTATTGGAAATGCACTTCATTTTTTTTCTTGGTTTCTAGGGCTCATTGAAACGAACAATGGGACATGCATCCAATATTTTTTGATATAGCATCACCGAAAAAAAAAATTAGTTGAAATCACTGCCTCACTGACTATAGACTCCCTTTGTTAGTTCAAGCTATTCCAAATATTCTTAAAGAAACATTATCAAGGTAGGGAATTCTGTCCTTATTCCAAATATAAAATTTCTTAAGAAATTGAATACAGCAGATGGGTTAAAATCGGTTGTAGATGAGGTTCCTTGACCAGGGGAAGGATCCATAAGGGAAGGTTTCTCTTATTAGAAATAGATTTCGATCCGCTTTAAGGGACATAAAATTCTTCAACGATAGGATTTTGATGGCCCTATTCCAGGGGCATTGGTTTGAAATCGCATTGATAAACATACAATGTCAAACCGAAGACAATGATAAACAAGCCAAATGCGAATTTTATGGTAAACTAAGGTGGGTTTATGATAAACTAGTGCGAAGCTGCATGAAAATAATTTTAGAGGACACTAACGCAAAGGTGGGGAGGGAAGAGTTTATTTTCCGACGATCGGTCAAGAAAGTTTACACGATTATAGTAATGATAATGGAATTGGGCTTTAAACTTTGCCATCTCGAAAAACCTAATAATTAAAAGTACTATGTTTAAACATAAGGATATTCACAAATATACTTGGACATTAGCGGATTCACAATAGTATAATTGGCAAAATAGTATAATTGATGTAAGGTCTTATCACAGGACAGAATGTGGGACAGATCATAAATTAGTAATCGTGAATCTTCAACAAAAACTTGATATAAATAAGAGTAAAAAAAAAAATTTAGATTGGGAGAATTTTAATTTGGAAAAATTAAAAATATCCATCAATTAGAACTAAATTCGAGCTTGAAGTTAAGAATAGGTTTGAAGCTTTAGAACCTTCTGATGAGGACTGTGATGATATAGATAAGTTATGGGTAGGGATCAGGGATAATATTAAAGAGGTCGGTAACTTGTGTCTAGGAAAAACGGAAAATAAAAATAACAAACCGTGGTTTGATGAAGATTGCTTAAGCGCTCTATATAAAAATAAAAGCTCTATGCAATGTCTTAAGGTTTTTGAAAATAAAGTATTGCGCAGAATATTCAGACTGAATATGAATCAACCGGAGAATTTAGGCAGTTACACAATGCTGAATTGTGCAAACTGTATCCAGTTAATAAAACTGAGATGATTAAGTTAAGGCAAATAAAATGGGCATGTATTATCTCTGGGATTAGTAACAAAAGAATTCCTAAAAAGTTAATTACATCCGAGGGGTAGACTAAAGCGAAGGTGGGAAGATTGCGTAGTACTCCTTAAATAGCCGGTGGGGTCGAAACCTCCCTTGTTATCTAATCTTATATCACATAACCTCCCTTCTTATCTCATCTAACCTAAGTTATTCCTTTGTTTACTTTTTGTTCCTCGTGTAAGATATGAGTTATTCGTTCGTTTATTTTTGTTCCATTAGTGTTATTTTTGTAAAATTATCGATGTTGTTACATTGTTTGAATTGCCATCTTCAGAAGAAGATGCTATCAAATATTTTCAAGATGCCAGGATAATTGCAAAGGTGAAACATTGAGATGAAGGTCATGAAATGAAGTTCGACGGGAAGAGGAAATGGAGATGCTTTCGAACTTGTAACAAAAACGTTCTATAAGGAAAGGAACGTGGTTAGAGGGGTCGAGGATTTCTTTTTTAACGGCTTTAAAATTTATTTATAGGTGGTCCTATAATTTAACAACAATCCAATGCGTGAAAGAGCAGCTGAAACTATCCAAGAGATGCTGTCATAGTGTTTCTTTTATATATACATATGTTGTTTAACTGGTTTTTTATTATTTCATTTATTTTTGTCTATTTTTTGCCTATTTTTATTTTTATATATATGTTGTAAAATAAAAGTTTTTTTTTTTTATTATTACATTTGTTTTTGTTTAAAATTTCAATAATATGAATATAATACAATAAATATGAATACGAAGATATAATAATATGAATATCAATATTATAAATATAAGACAATAAATATGAGTATCAGAATTATCAGTGTTAAGGTTATAAACATTGGCAGATAACAGTCGGACCCGACCAGCTATTTAAGGAGTACCGATTGCGTTAAGGCTGATCTGGCGGGGTCAGGTTTAGACAGCGCCCGGTGGATAGAAGAAAGTGGACATCTATTGGTGGTATCAACATCTAACCTTCAGGTTTGCTAAGCCTAATTATTATTATTATTATTATTAATATAACTATATATTTATGTATTTTTTATGAAAAGGCTATTCGTATTTTAAAAATAAAGAAACCACTACTAACACAATGAAAACAAAAGTATCAGAACACTTACTTCACAAAAACGGAGAACAGAAGAAGCAAATGAAGAGCTTGTTGATAACAAATTATAAACAAATCCTCTAGAAAGCTTATACTTTTTTGAAACACTCCAAACATTTTGTCCAGTCCATAATTCGTGCAAAATTAGACTTACAAAAAATCTTTTGAGGATCTTTTCAGGAAGAGTCTGAAATTAAAATGTAAAATGATGATATATTAATAGCAAAGATATAGAATGCAAATTAAACATATTTAAACCGAAAAAAAAGTGTCTTCTAAAATAACATTGTTTTTTTATTAAGAGATCAACTCTAATGAGAATAAATGCTTTCTAGGAAATCGAGAGAATTTCAGACAGATCTTTATGAAGTCAAAACAATAATTTTAAAATATTACACCACGTGGACACTAGCTAACTCCGGTACACCAGGCAGTTAAAGAATTTACCTGATCTAATCCATCCCTGGTAGGTCCTTTTACAATAGGTGATCAGAAAATAAAAAAATTGAAAGAACAATGTATTCAATTATTCATTGACTTTGCCTCTTAAATTTTTACAATTTTTTTTTTCAAATTTGAACAAAATGTCCAGAAAAAATAATAAAACAAACACTAATATTAAATCAACGGTATCCGAGGAGGACTTGTCCTCATCAGAGCATTTACATATATCAGAGGTCACCTCTGATACACTTGACGAATCTTTGGTGGGAAAACTGCTAAAGACCCTAACAGAGGATGTTGGCACACTTCAGGTCCAAACGGAGTGGAAGGAGGAGGAAGTTATGGAGGTGGCCAGTGTTATGGCGCAGGACCCAACAGAACTAATGGACGTGGAAGATACAAATAAACCAGAAATGGGCATCACAGGAAGTAGCCCTTCGCCTTCTGGATTCGACCAGACGGAGGGCGGGGACCACGAGCCCAAGGACTCGAGGCCTGCCATGTCGAGGGCGATCAAGAATGTGAAAAGGCATAACAGGAGAAAAGCAATAGCCCTTCAACTGTTGAACACACAGGAAGAGAAGAGGCCACCTGTAGAGCACTCTGCTGAGCGAGGGCCCCAAAAGGCCTGGCAGACAAGGCAGAGAGACTCGAGAGGGATGCCTCAGATCAAAGGCAGACTACAAGCAAATTGGAGCCTACTCAAAGGCAGGTAGTGGAGGATGCAAAGGCCCCAAAAGGTCTGGCAAACGAAGCTACCATTCCGGAGGGGAAAGCTTCAATACCACAGACAGGGGAAGAGAAGGAGACACCCAAAAGGCCAGCATCTAAGTTTGCGAGGCCACACAGGCCAGCAACTAAGACTTGTGAGGCCTCAAAGGTCCAGATCAAGACTGACTGTGGAAAAACGTGCAAGAACCTCCCTAGGAACCTCAGCTACAGCAGCTAAGAAACCGAGGGAAGCTGAGAGGCCCAAAAACTATGCTAAGGTCGCGAGAGGACAGTTGGTAGCGGTGGTTCCTGTGGACTACCCGCAGACCCAACTCAGCTATGACCAATGCGAAGAACTAAAAGAAGCTATTGCAAGCAAGTAGAAGGGCTCACAATAGGAGACGTTCACCCGAAGTTTGATGGAACGCTCTTCAAGCTCGGTGGATGTCTGGTATCTTGCTTGGACGACCATACTGTGGAATGGTTTAAAAACATCACACCAAGCATCATAATCAAAGTGGGTCTAACCCTATGAGCTTGTCCAGATACAGAATCAGTCCATAACTGGCAACAATACCTGGACCGTGTTTAACTTCATGGCTCTGGAAAGAGAATCCTTCAGAGTGTTCAACATACCGGAGAGAGCCTCACAACACATGGGATGCGGGCTCCTTGTGGCATATACGTAATAACATTCAGGCATCTAGCGTCGAGCAACAAACCTGCTCCTGAGGAAACACAGGAAGAAGCACCAAGGGCGGGCACATCAAAAGAGAAAGAAACCAGGGAATCTTCCTCTTCTATAAGGAGTGTTTCGAGGCCATCAGGCGGGTAAGAAGGCGGGGCCAAGCCGAAGGAACTAGTGAAAGCTGGCTACAGAGGCGAATCCTATCCAATAACACTCTCCAAATACGGATAGAGGGTCGAAAGCGAGGTCGAGCGGTGGGGAGAAACCAATAGACAAAGTGAAAACTGAGTCTGATGGAGGAACCCTACCATCGGCTTCGTCTGGAAAACCACCCTCCAGGAAATAAACTATTTAAAAAATAATTATGAAACTGCTGCAGATCAACATCCACCACTGCAATGCGGCATGGGGTGTATTGCAACAGTACATAAAAGATAAGGATATAGATTTTATTTTAATACTTGAACCTTACTTATATGAAGGCAGGATCAAGGGATTGAACATGCCTGGGTATGGAATCATCTCCGCACCCGCCTACCCTAGGGTCTGCCTACTTTATAAAAATAAACTAAAACTGCTGCCTCTAAGGCAATTCTGTTCTAGAGATCTTGCAGCAGCCAAATATACCCATCAAGGGGATAAAAAAGCCATAATCATAGCGGCGGTATATCTGCCATATGAAAATCCAGAACCTGCAGAAGAAATTGAGAAAATCCTAAGATGCAGTGAAGAGATCATAGCTGCCCTGGATGCCAATGCACACAATGAGATCTGGGGGAGCTCAAACATCAACTCTAGAGGTGAGAAACTCTTAGAGACTATAATTAAATATGATCTTGATATTCTGAACAAGGGGAATAAACCTATCTTTTGTAATAAGACTAGAACGGAGATCATAGACATAACATTAGCGACTCAAACGATATGTGTCCTTATAGATCACAGGTATATCAGATTCGATATATCTGACAGAATACAACATGATGTGGAATAGAGATCCCAAACGTACAGACTAGGCTTCCTATAGTACTAACTTGGAGGCTGCTGTTAAATGCTGCCCCAAAGCAATCCACAATGCATGGCAACTTGAATGTCTCAACATTTCACTTACTGATGCTATGATTAGATCGTATTTGGCCAGTAATGAAGCTAAAAAAAAACACAACTAACAGGAAAGTGTCCTGGCGGAATGGTAGCCTAACAAAGCAAAGAACACTCACAAGGAGATTGTTCAATGCTGCAAAAACATCTGGCAATTGGGATACCCATAAGAAAGCTCTTACTGAGTATCACAAACCTGTCAGAAGAGCCAAAAGACAAGACTGGAAAAGGTTTTGTCTCGAGGTTGATAACATACCAGTGGTATGTAAAGTAAACAAAATACTGTCAAAACAAACCAATTCAGGTCCGATAGGAACACTCAAACACGAGGATAAATTCACCACGAATGAAATTGAAACATTGAGTGTTGTAGCTAAAGCACACTTCCCAAAATGTTATATGACAGTAACAGAATCTCTTGATCCACTACGTGGTACTGGCGCACGTATGTGGGATCTAGCAAGAACAGTGATTACAAACAGCAGACTTGAATGGGCAGTGCATTCATTCTCACCTTTTAAATCTGCTGGAACTGATTAAATCTTTCCGGCATTGCTGCAGAAAGGTCTCTCAGAGATAAGGCCATACCTATTGGAATTACTAAGAGGTAGCCTAGCACTGGGATATTTACCATGTAAATGGAGGATATCCAAGGTGCAATACATTCCAAAACCACGAAAAGAATCTTATGAAGACCCCAAGGCATTTAGGCCAATATGTCTGTCATCTTTCATAATGAAGACATTGGAGAAGATACTAGACAGACATATTAAGGAACATATATTGGCTACAAGTCCAATACACTCAAAGCAATATGCCTACCAACCAGGGAAATCCTGTGAGGTGGCACTTCACAACTTGGTAACAAGAATAGAGAAATCTTTAGAACAGAGAGAAATCATGGTAGGCGTCTTCGTTGATATCGAGGGTGCCTTTGATAGAGCTCCCTATAACATCATAAATGATGCACTAAGGAAGAAAGACATAGACCCTATGTCCTCAAGATGGATTGGGAGGATGCTGGAGGACAGAGTCTTAAAATCGGTGTTAAGGCACAAGAAACTGTGGATTAAACCTTGTGGTGGCTGTCCACAGGGAGGTGTGCTCTCCCCTTTATTATGGTGCTTTGTGGCTTACTCATTGTTGGAAGCCCTAAACACTGCAGGTATATACACACAACGATACGCAGATGAAATTGCTATCCTAATAGGAGGGAAGCATCAGTGTCCTCTCTGATCTCCTCAACACAGTGTCTAATATTCTTAGGAATTGGTGCAGGACTAACGGACTAAGCGTCAACCCTAGGAAAATTAATGTGTGTATCTTCACCAGGAAGAAAAAGGTGTTTATTAAAATGGCGAAAATTAATGGTATCCAACTGACACATAGCAAGGAAGTAAAACACCTTGGAATCATTTTGGACCAAAAACTGTCACGGACTAAACATGTTCAGAACGTGAAAAGTAAAGCCCTCAAATGCCTATGGGCCTGTAAAAGAGCGATAGGGAAAAATTGGGGACTCAAACCTAAAATGGTATACTCGTTGTATACAACGACAGTTAGACCTATCATACTTTACACAGCTTTGCTATGGTGGCATAAAACAAAGACTGCAGCTAACTCTTCCTTATTGGGAAAGATCCAAAGACTGGCATGTATGATGATAACAGGTGCAATGGGCTCTACACCGACGGCTGCTATGGAGGCAATGTTGAACATGGCACCGCTGCAGCTGGAGGTGAAGGCTCGAGCAACAAATACATTATACAGGCTAAGCAAGCTGAAAAGCTGCTCCGTAATCCCCTGTCAAGGGGGACACACAGTACTGCTGAACAGGATTGGACATGACGAAGTGCTAGCCATCTGCTCTGACACTCTCATCCGGGAATATCAGGACCGTAAATAAGGGGTTGAGATAGACAGCAGCAGACAACACAAACCAAAAAATGGTATTAATTGTTATACAGATAGCTCTCTAACAGTCAATGGCTCAGGAGCAGGCATCTATCGTAAAGATAACAAAGAAATAGATTCTATACCTCTTAGCAGATATGCCTTAGTGCTTCAATCTGAGATACTAGCAATTTGCCATTGTGCTCAAAACCTCCTGCGAAGCAATGTGACTGGGAAAAAGATTACAATCTATACCGACAGTCAGGCAGCAATAGGTGCTCTAAACAATTATTATGTGTATTCAAAGGTTGTTAAGGAATACAACACAGCACTTAACGTACTGACTGAGCACAATGGAGTTGCAGTGGAGTAGGTGCCCAGTCACTTGGGCATACTAGGCAACGAAGAGGCAGATAAACTGGCCAGATTGGGCTCAGATATCATTCATATTTAAAAAATACTGGACTGAGAAGAAACAGCGACATTCGAAGCTGTTCCTTAAAGGTCCATGTGAAAAAAGAAGTAAACTGCTACTGAGTATGGGCAGAGCAGCTCTTAAAAAGCTTACAGCGATCTACACAGGCCACTGTAAGTTAAATTACCATATGTTCAATCTCCGAGTAACAACGAATCCGCTATGCAGATTCTGTCAAGAGGAGGAACTATTTGGGGAGGAACGAATGGATCTCCCCAGTAGATATGAGAAGGTCAATCCAACCAGTCTACTGAGATACACGGAAGCAGCAAAAATAACGTTTTGATAATAAACGAATAACTTAATTGGCCCACAATAGATCCTTCAGAGGTTGATATGCCCTGAGCCAACATATAAAAAAAAAATAAATAAATAAAAAGACAGAATTAAAAATATATTTTATCAATGAATACCTTAATGGAACGTTGAGCCAAAATTCTATGGACTATAGCCTCATTGATTCCCACAGTTCTAGCTACTTGCATATTTTTGCTATTCATCTCACTAAACTAAAAAAAATAAAATAATAATAAAATAAATAAATGGGACATAGGCCAAATAGTACATGGTAAGAAAACATTTATTTGATAAATGATTCCTTTTAATATTTTAATTGTTTTCAATATGACAAAATATGATGAATTGTGTTGAATGACCAGCACAATGCCTAACGCTAAGGCAAGTTGTGCCAAAGCTTGGTAAGGTGATGTGATGTCACTCACAGTGAGATTCTGTGAAACATAGAATAGAATGGAACAGTAAAAGTTGGCTTGCAGAGTGAGGGTTTAGGGACCGTTTTAGGGCCTCCGTGAGCTGTATAGATTTGTGCTCCTACCTCAGTTTGTCACTAATGACTCCAAACAGAATCTCACAGGTTAAGTACATGATGGAAGAAAAATTAATTGAAGTAGTTGGAGAAAGAAAACTTTCATGCGACATTTCACTTGGTGATTATTTAAAAGTAAAATTGAAATCGCAGATTTGGGAAGAAGTTGCCAAAGTAGTTAGTATAAAATTGGTAACTTTTAAATATATTTGTATTTAATTTATTATTTGAATAATTTATTTGATTCTACCGAACAATCTATTATTCTTGCACAAGAAAACATTTTATTACTTTACAGATATTTTAAAGATGATTTACAGGAAATGAATAAATTTCTCAACTTGTCTTGGGGTTCCATTGATAAATCTTCAGAAGTTATTTTATAATTTTTCCTCATCTTCTTCAAGATCACCACACACCATGCATTCATAGTCAAATGGTAAAGTTGGTATTGGATCGGAGAAAGTTTTGGAACCAATGACATTGCTTTAAGTGTTAGCAGTGTTTAACCTTAATCCATTTAAGTTTGCTCAGGAACTGATTTGATCTGGACCCTATTGAATTTTGGCAAGTGCTACTAAGAGAGGGACTTTAGTGTGTTGGTTGAATTTTAACATTAGTATATGGGTTGGGTCACGGGAGAGGGTGCGTAAGTTGTTTGGTCTGAAAGTAGTTGGTGCACTTTGTGTGAGGATTCAGTCTTGTCCATAATAACTGTTGAATTTCCCTTATCAGCCTTAGTAATAATGAGGTGGTCGTTTGTTTTGAGGAAAGAGCGAATTAAGGATAAATGCTTAAAAAAAGGGAGGGGGGGAGGAGGGAGAAAGGGGACGAACGGGATGTAGGGTGTTGAAGGTGGTTGGAAATCATGTTACTGATCTGAATGCGGGATAATTCTCTCTCCTCTTCCTTAACTCTGAATCGGTTTTCTCTGTATATGCCTTTTAGATCTGTAATTTTTTATCTAAATCTTTTTGTATCTTGTCCATTCTAGCCCTGAAGAAGACCTGCAAAGTCGGGTCGAAACGTTGGCTTTTAATAAAATAGTTTTGCTACTATTTAGTCTATTTATGACCGCCACCCCAGACTATCTCCTTCCTTAATAATCCAACGGCCAACTATTAAGTATTCAATATTATTATTTACACTATTTATACTAAAAGTAAACACTGATTTTAAAATAACAAGTATGGTTTGGCAAGCTAACCTTTTTACTAACCTTTAGGAGTTCGGCTCGAGCCGGTGATAGTGATAAAGTAAATAATGATAGTGAAATGTTTGTCCAATTGAGCTGGAAATTTACAAGTGGACCAAGACCTATACAGGAGATAAGCTTCTGAAATCTGGGGAAAATCGAGAGAGGATTTTCGACAGGAGCAGAAGGTAAAAAAAATTGGTGTGCTTGCAGGACCAGGCTGCTTATCAGGTGCAGCCAGAGACCTGTCGTCCCCCATCACGCCAGCCAAGATATCACCAGCAAGGTCAGTGTCATCTAAACAGTTCAACATAATCAATCTAGCTATCATCGAAGGAGCCCGACGTACTTTGTTGTCGATTGATTTTTTTTTTTTTCTCTTTGTCATTTAAGAATGCAAGTACTTTTGTAGTTATGAATGTATATTTGTTTGACCAGTATTGAGACGCACACATACACACATTATCTGTATATGATTTAAATATTTTTTGTAATCTATTTATATGATTTTAACTTTCAAATTAATTAGTTAAAACTAATAAAATCCAGCCTTCCTACCCTTATTCCAGTACTTTATCATATCTACAACTTCTCATTGCAAAATTCCACATTTCCCTCTTCCTGGAAAACTGCACTCGTCCGACCATTGAGTAAAACATCTAACCCTTCCTCACAGAACGACTTCCGCCCTATTTCTCTTCTTTCCAACCTCTCAAAACCACTGGAACGCCTTGTCCAAAATCAACTTTCCAACTTCCTAGAAGAACGTTCCTTCATCAATCCATTCCAATCTGGCTTCCGACCCGGCTATTCAACGCAATCTGCCCTCCTTAAAATAACGCATGACCTCCAAAACTCCATTGAACACCAAAACCTTACTATCCTCATCCTTCTAGATTTTTCCAAAGCGTTTGATACAGTTGACCATAACATCCTTCTTACCAAATTGCAAAATCTTCCTCTATCCAACAGTGTCCTACGTTGGTTCAAATCCTTCCTTTCCGATCGATCCCAGTATGTAGTCGTCCCAGGTCAACCTCCTTCAAAGACACTTCCCCTCTCCTGTGGTGTCCCTCAGGGTTCCTCCTTGTCTCCTACTCTGTTTGCTATTTACATTAATGACCTTCCCAACCAGATCCATCACTTCCAATACCACATCTATGCTGACGATTTCCAAATATACCTTTCCTTCCCCACTTCCGACCTATTAGCCGCCACAAAAAAGCTTCAAGAAGATTTAAATAGAATATACGACTGGGCAGGAGTTAACAAGTTGAAGTTGAATGCGGAAAAGACCAAGGCAATCCTAATAGGCTCCAATCACCTCCTCAAAACTGTTCCTAAATTTCCAACCCTCTTTTTACATGATAATCCCATTAAATTTTATCCCACCATCAAAAACCTTGGAATAATCTTCGATCAAACCCTTACCTGGAAAAACCATGTGTCCAATATCTCCCGACGTACCTTTTCCGCCCTAAAACACTTAAATAGCCTGCGACACCTTTTTCCTTTTGAAATCCGTAGACTCCTGGTCACCTCTTTAATATTTCCCCATTTCGACTATTGCTGCACGGTATATGGGAGCGTCTCTGGGGATCTCGAGGCGAAACTAAAACGTTTGATAAATTGCTTCGTACGATTCATCTTCAGGATCCCAAGAGACGCTCCTGTTTCCTGTTTCTATGAAGAGTTGAAGTGGCTTTATCCTTCCAACCGCCGTAAGTATTTCCTGGCATCCTTCCTCTTCCAAGTAATTCACTCCCGCTGTCCTTCATACATCGCCGAGCTCCTTCAATTTAAATACTCTGTCCACTCCCGCAATACCCATTCCCGGTCCTCAGATCTATATATAATGGCCCACCGAACCGCTGCTTTCGATAAATCATTTATTATTCGATCCTCTTCCCTATGGAACTCCATCCCTCCCCACATCCGTCAATCCAAAACCCTTCCTACCTTTAAATCCCAACTGTTTAATCATTTCTTATCCATCCAGTCCTCATCATAAAATTGTAAATAGTTACTACTGTAAATATGTATATAAATTATTAGATCGTTCTTTATTATTTTTACTTCATGTTTATTTTCAATTTTTTATTTTTATTATTAACTGATGTAAATTAGAAAGTAACTTATAATTTCTCTAAATATTTTTTTATTTTATTTTTTTTTTTTTTTTTACTATTTAATCAAACTATACTCTTGTTTATGTATCTCTGAGGTTCCTTAGCCCACATTTTTGTTTCTCTGTATTATTCTAAAGGGGCTCGTCCCAGAATAAATAAAGCATTATTATTATTATTATTATTATTATTATAGGAGAAGTGCAAGTTATGTTCAATGACATAATAGTTTTGAGCTGAACAGAAATTGAGCATGCTGTAAGTTTGGAAGAGGTCATAAAAAGGGACAATCTAACATTGAATTTAATTGCGAAAAACTCCAATTTAAATAAAATGAACTTTATAATATTTGGGAGTAGTATTTGGAGCAGAGGGAATCAAACTGGATCCCCTTAAAGTAAGAGCCGTTTACAATATCAAAGAACATCAATCTCTGAAGGAAATTCAAAGATTTTTAGGTGTGATAAATTGTTTGAACAAATTTATTCTGGTCTATTCACAGGTCACCATCCCTCTTGGTGAGAAGAAGCTGATTATTAGTGAAGAAGAAGCTAATATTAAGACAACTATAATATAAGAGTATTTTAAATCTAACATTAGTATATATTGATGTTATTGATCTTACCACATTCCATATCACATCAAACGTTGGATTAAGATCTTCCAGAACAGAGTAAGGTGTAACTAAATAAAGCAAATGAAGGTCATTAACAAGTACTAAAGAATTCTGAGCTTCTTTAAGATCTTCATACAGTTCTCTTGCCACTTCAAAAGGAAGATTTCCTAAATGTGTTCAAAACAAATTGGTAAAAACGATGTGTAAGTAAAACAAATTAAAAAAATTAAATTCTAAAGCCTTATAATAAGAAAAAGTAAAATCTTGTATAGATTTTAAAAACTTATTCATTTATTTAATGCAAGAGCTTCTAAATAAAGGTTTTGAATTGTCATTTGAAATATGTTCATTAAAAGGAAAGTGATGAAAAATATTCAAGAAAATTTATTATCAAAACATATTCCTATGCATCAAACCTATACGGTTCATAAGAAGAAGCTGTTAGAAGACGTTATTAATAATTTATGAATAGAATGTATGAATACAGCCTACACAGTATTCTCTGTATTATTGAACCGGCGGCTGATAAAGTTTTCCGAACAGATAGTGGGCGACTATCAGTGTGGTTTCAGGCCTGGAAGATCAACCATCAATCAAATAAGAAGAATTACTGAAGGTAATGCTTGAATTGGAAATTCCCAAGAAGCTCACTAGGCTAGCTTAGTGTAGTAAATAGTGGCCTGAGGCAGGTATACCCACTGTCAACTGTCCTTTTCAATTTACATACACAACCGCACAACAACTCGTCACCGAGTCCGGTCTCAAGTAGCCTCCGCCAGTTGGCCCTATCCTGTGCAGCAGTCCTTCAGTCCCGCACGCCTAGAAGAGTCCTTGCATCCTCAGTCACACCATCCATCCACCTCACGTTCAGTCGTCCCACTCTCCTCATCCCTAAGCTCTCTACTGTGGCCACTTTCTTCGGAATATCACCATTGTCCATTCTGGCTAGATGGCCAACCCATTGAAGTCTTCCCAGTTTTATGACTTTCAATATCTCAATATCTTAAAAGAGCCCGTAAAATTCTTGGTTCTTTTGTCTTCTCCATGCCTCCCCTACTTTGATGGGTCCATATATCCTCAATATCCCCCTTTCGAACACCAAGAGTCATCAACGAGAGCTTGTTCCTCTTTTTCAGGACTTGCATTTAAATCGTCTGCTCTGTTAAGTGGCTCTCTGAAGTACTGTCTCCATCTCCTGAGTACATCCTCTGTTTCTGTGAGGTGACCTCTGCTTTGTCCTTACAGCATGTGACCTTCCTTCATTCACTCTTTGGTAAAAGAGTCTGCATTCATTAGCACTTCGAAGGTTCTCGATTTCCTCTATCAGCTTGTTCTCCCATTCTCTTTTCTTTCTTTGGTGCAGCACTTCTTTTCTCATGATAGGTCTCATCCGTGCTTCTTGTGTGCCTTTGAACTCTCTTGCTATATGCCTTGTTCTTATCCTTGATAGCTTGGAGGCACTCATCATCAAACCATGGAGACCTTTGTAACTTTGGCCTGGGTACCAGTGCTTCCTCTGCTGCTGCTTTGATGGAATTAGAAATTCCCTTCCATTGTTCATCAAGGCTGGAATCCACTCGCCATGGTTTTTCTGTGAGCTTCTCTAAGAGTTTTCGCTGATACTCTTCCTGGTGTTCTGGTTTCTTTAGCTTCCCAGTGTTGAACATCTCCTTGGCTTGTTTTCTGGGGGCTTGCCTGAAAGGAAACTTTGAGCAGATTCTCGCTATGCTGAGGTAGTGGTCCGTATCCATGTTAGCTCCTCTGTATGCTCTGTTGCTTACAAGTTCAGATTTGTATCTGGAGCTTATAAGGAGGTAGTCTATTTGGTTGGCCACTTTTGCATCCGGTGATCTCCAAGTTTGATTGTGGATGTTTCTTCCTTGGAGCAGCATGCTTCCTACAATTAGTCCATGGTCGGCTGCGAAGCTTACTAGTCGTTGCTAACAAGCATGAAACATCATGTAAACTATGTTTCCCAATAATGGGCTGATATGCCTGTTCTTGGCCGACTTTGGACAAGGATTATCTTCACATCTCGGTGAGGGCATTTGATTATAGCTTTGCCAAGGTCTTCATAAAAAAGGTCTTTATCCTCTTCTGTGACAATCTCGGTTGGAGCATGGCAATTTATGATGGAATAATTAAGGAACATTTTCCTTTGAGCCTGATGTAGCATAGAAGTGGGCTATATGGCACGAAATTTCTTAAAAGTTGCCTGACTCTTCCTCTGACAACAAATCCAGTTTCGAAAGTGTGATTGGTTTCATGGCAGCTATAGTTTAAGGTGTGCTGATTCATCTCTTGCATTCCTTTCCACAGCCAGTGGATTTCCTGGATTCCTGCTATGTCCACCTTGCATGAGTCCAGTAGTGTAAGGAGATTCCGTAGAGCTCCCAGTTGGTTAAGTGTTAAAGTGTTCCAATAAGCTATACGTAGATCCTTATGGCATTTCCTGGTTCGTATCCATTGAAACAATCCGGCTTCTTCCATTTGAGGATTTGTAAAAGTGGTTGTTTAGGAAGTGAGGGTAGTCAGTCCTCGACCCCCGAGTCAGGTGGAGGGGCTGCCTCCTCGAAGCTCCCTGACTAGCTCCCCCATCCGGAACAGCTACCTAGGGAAGGTGCCCCTAGGGTGTGAACTGTTGATGACCTTTGTCTATGGTGTGAGGGTGAGTGCAGTAATCTGTATGAATGTAAGTGTACTGTTCCCCCAACCTGGAGGGATAGTAGCTGTCTGTGGTACTATGACTGGGCGATGGGGTCGCCACTTCCCTGTGCCTCCTTTCAATTTAGCCTTGGAAGAAGCTATTAGGGCAATATGAACCAACCCTAATGAAACAATTTATGATCGGCTCACACAGCACTTGGCATATGCGGATGATGTGCTCATAATGGCAAGAAACACTGCAGCGCTAGGAGGAGCTTTTGAGGAGTTAAGTACCTGGGTGCAGTCATTACACATGACAGCAGCATGAAAGAAGTGAATGCCAGGTTGGCTGCAAGTAACAAGTACCTTTATGCCATACAAAGAATATTAAAGTTTAAAGCTCTTCCTGAAAAAGTAAAATTCATGATTTATGAAACCATACTGAGACCCTTAGTTACGTATGGCATTGAATCTTGGGTATTGACCAGTGAAAGTAAAAGGAAACTCAATGTCTGGGAAAGAAAAATACTCTGGAGGATTTATGGGTCAATTAGAGAAAAAGGCACGTGGCGGTTAAGAAACAATTACGAGCTCTGTGCAATGTATGGCAAACCAGACACCTCCTGAGATGGCTCGGACACGTCGAAAGGATGCCAGAGAATAGAATTCCAAGACACCTGCTATATGGAAAAATTGGAAGGAAGCGATATAGAAGAAGGCCAAGAGTGCGATGGTTGGATGACATTGAAGAGGACCTCAAGTTGCTCAGAGTAAGAAGATGGAAGACGCGAGTGAGAGATCAGAATGACTGGCTTGGAGTCATTTCCAGTCCCACAATTTACTCTTTACTTTATAATCTTTATTTGATATATACGTTTCACCGCCTGGCCATCATAAGCACATCTGAAAAAAGGCTCATTTATATGTATATGCAAATGTATATGTATATGTATATATATATATATATATATATATATATATATATATATTATATATATATACATATACATATATACATTCCGGTTAATTAATAATCTTTTATATAATCTCTACTTATCTTTAAAACAAAAATTTATTTACATAATTTACAATAATAAAATCCTGCTATTCCTATTTACACAATGTATTTTTTCTTGAAAAATAATTCAAGCTTTATTAACATCTATTTTCCATGTTGAATTGGCAATTGTCACTTTATTTTAAAAGACAATTCATATTTAATTCACATATAAAATTATCAAAATACTTAAAAACAAATAACTAATAAATAAAATGATCTAACAACACTAATTCATATTAAAAAATTTAAACAATTAAGACCTGTTATTTTATAACCTATTACAATATAAATTATTACATTAAATTAAAACAATATTTTATCCAATTTATTTATTTTACTGTTTTATTCGTAATAACCTGGCCGCAGTACTACAGATCAAATTTTTGTTATAAGACAAATGATGGAAAAATGCTACGAGTATGACATTGATCTGCACTTATTATTAATTGACTAAAAGCAGGCATTTGATAGCATCAAGCGATCAGCTTTGTTAAGAATGCTAATGAAAAGTGGAGTGCCACATAAACTAATTAATTTAATACGCATGACCATGGAAAATGCATCATCCAAAGTTATTATTGGAAATAAAGTTGGTCCATTGTTCGAGGTACAGTCTGGAGTGCATCAAGGAGATGCCTTATCGGCAACACTATTCAACATAGCTCTGCATGCTGCTGTGAGAGATGCAGCTAAAAAAGGCACCATCGTTGATAAGATCTGGCAAATTTTTCCTTACGCTGATGACGTGCTGATAGCTGCACGAAGTGAAAAGGTGCTTAAAGAGGCATTTTAGATTGTATACGAAAATGGCAACAAAGTAGGAATTGTGGTCAATGAAAACAAAACTAAATACCTGAAACTTTCCTCGGCAGCAAGTATAAGATCCTGCAGTGAAATTACAATAAAGAATTTTAAGTTTGAAAATGTATCCACATTCGTATATCTTGGTTCTGTCCTAAATAATGAAAATGTAATCAGCAGAGAAATAGACAACAGAATAATGGTTGGTAATAGAGCTTACTATGCAAACCTAAAACTTCTCAAGTCTCCATTGTTGTCAAAAGCCACGAAAATAAAGCTGTATAAAACGCTTATTAGACCAGTAGTCACCTATGGAGCGGAAACCTGGTGTTTATCACAAGAGAATTGCCGTAAACTAAAAGTATTTGAAAGGAAAATAATAAGAAGGATTTACGGTCATTATCATAATTAAGTAAAATTTCTAGAGATATAATTAATATTCTCTGCTTAGGTGAAAATGTCAAGTTATTTCCCCTTTCTATACATAAGGTCATTTTTGATATAATAGGAGATGCTGAAAGCATGATTGCAGATTTAGATCCTCCAGAAAATCATAAAAATGAGTTAAGAAACTTCATTATTAAAGAAATGAGTATTTTCGTGGATAAACATCATTTCTAATAATATTTTGTTAAAGATATAATCATTAATATATTCTGAAAAACTCACATATTTCAAAATATAAATTTTTTTTACATAATTATCTATCACGTACATGTCCTTTATACTTCTTATGTGAACTACATGTGTCTTCTCATAATAACCGGTATCATGATCATCATTTATATTTTGAACTATTTTATTACATTTTATTACATTATTATTATAATTTTTTTTTCTATTAAAAGATTTATATAATGTTAAATTATCTTACTATGTGTCAACCCACATGTTAGTTTCATTGCTATTGCGTGATTAGTTAATATTATAGGAGAAAGGGAAGATTATATATACACACACAATGATGTTTCTTAATATTTTACACAGACCAATTTTAAGCAATTCAATTACTATTCAATTCGAATGTTTATTTTTTCAATTGAACTCGCGTAAAAGGTGTTCAAATTACCTACATCTGTATGATTATTTACAGAATTTTTCAAGTTTTTAGTTATATATATTGCTTCCTTTATTCTACTTTTATTAGTATAGTAATATAGTAATCATATGAAAGTATTTAATATGAAGGATTTTGGCATTTTTGAAATCAAATTAGTGTTTAGTTTGCATACTATAGTCCAGATAGTCCAGTAGCTAATTTAGTTTTTGTGATTTTTTAATTACAGTTTTGTTTATGTCATTTAAGCCTTTTTTCAAACCATTGTGATGTCTGTCCAAAATATAATTTTTTGTTACAATTTTCCATTTATTTTATAAATAATATTTGTTAATTTATCGGTAGGTACTTAATCTTCAGTTTTGGAATAAATTTTATCTATTTTGTTAATTGGCATGCTTGTAAATTTAATTTCACTTACATCAAATTGCTTAAATGTTCTTTTTATTTTATCAGTTAATTTTCTAATATATGTGATGCTAAAATATTTTTTAGGTTGTAGTTTGTTTTCATTCTATTTTTCATTTGACATCTTAATGTCATGTACATCATTCATGGAAGTTTTTTGTTTTACAGCATTTTCAGTTCTAAAATAATTTGTTATTAAATTTGGTTCTTTATTAATTTTATTTTGGTTTACTTTCTCACTCTTATTATCACTAATATTTTTTATTAGGATTTGGTAATGAAAAAATTGGTGTAAGATGGCTTAAAATAAATAAATTAAAAACTTATTTTAAATGTTCCTATGTAAAAGGACTTTCTGAAAATATACAAAGGTCAGTAAGGAAATATGATCTGGAGGAAATATGTCTAGCATATAAGCCAAAAAATACAATAAAAAATTGGTATAAAGACATGAAGGATAAAATACCACTAAAAGAGCAATCCGATGAGATTTATAAAGTAGAATGTTTAGATTGTCCATCTGCCTACAAAGGTAAAACTGGTAAAATATTAGAAAAAAGAATGTATCAACATCAAAATGATGTAAAAAATAAAGAAAAGGATAAAAATAAAACAGCTTTGATACAACAGATGGCTGAAAGAGCTCATAGATTTGATACAATAGATCCAAAAATATTATTTAAAGAAACCAATGTGAAAAAGAGAAGGATAATTGAGGCATTATATATATGTGAACATGAAAATAGAGCAGTCAATTTTAGGAATGACACAAAAAACTTAGTGTCACACATATTACACAGACATAATAAACAAAATAAAATAATAAATACTATGATTGATTGATTCTTTGTCATCATTGAGGGCGACTGGTTGGATTATAAAATAGAATCTTTTAAATTATTATGATTATATGTAATGAATGCAAAAATAGTCAATATATTAGCAGGTTCCATAATTATTCTCTCCCCCTCCCTCCATTAAGATTAAAATATATCTAAAAAAGGGTTAATTTAATATAGAATAGAATAGAATAGTAAATAGAACTTTATTCTGGGACTAAGTCCCCATAGAATAACAAAGATGAATTAATACAAAATAAAATACCAATCTGGCCAAAAACTAACTTATAAAAATTCTAGTATTATATACATTATTTAAAAAGTATTATGTAACCACTAAGAAATAAACATCCCTATAAATATCCCTACTGTATGGTAGTGAGAGCTGGGTCCTTCTAGATAGGCACAAAAGTAAACTTACCTCTGCCGAAATGAAATATCTGAGAAGAGTAGCTGGCCGAACTAGAAGAGATTGCACCCGAAACAAACCTATTAGAAAAAATGTCAAGATGCCACCAATGCTGGAAACCATGGAAAAGAAAACTCCCAAATGGCAGGGAACCCGAAAATTTCTTGAGGCCAGATCCACAGAAAAGAGGCCATGAGGACATTCACGTGTTCCAAGTTCAAAACTTGGATTGATGAAATAACCAAGCTTGGCCAGAGAAAAGCCGAGCAGTTGGGTTATATGAGGGACCGGGCGAGAGACCGTGATGACTGGCGTAAATGGGTCAAGGCTCCTCCACGCTGAAAGGCACTAATGAGGAAGACAAAGAAGAAGAAGTTGTTAGATCCTTTAATTTATTAGTTGTTTGTTTGTCAGTATTTTGATAATTTTATATGTAAATTAAATATGAATTGTCTTTAAAAATAAAGAGACCATTGTCTATTCAACATGTAAAATAGACGTTAATAAAATTTGAATTATTTTTCAAGAAAAAAGACATGTAAATAGGAATAGCAGGTAATTATTGTAAATTATGTTTACAATTTTTTCTTTTAAAGATAAGTAAAAATTATATAAAAGATTATTAAGTAACCAGAATGTGTATATGTGTGTGTGTGTATATATATATATATATATATATATATATATATATATATATATATATATATATATATATTTGATTTAGGGTTGAGTGATTGAAAAAAAATATAATGAAAGTATTGTGCCTTGGAGTAGCTCAGGGTGGTTTGAAAAAAGATTTGGAGAAATATACATTGTTAATAAAAATACTAGCTTTTTTGATCTCCCATCTCACAATTTACTCTTTATTTTATAATGTTTACTTTATATATATATATATACGTTTCATCACCTGGCCATCATCAGCGTGTCTGAAAAAAGGCTCATTTATATATATATATATATATATATATATATATATATATATAAAGTAAAAATTATAAAATAAAGAGTAAATTGTGAGATGGGAGATCAAAAAAACTAGTATTTTTATTAACAATGTATATTTCTCCAAAACCTTTTTCAAACCACCCTGAGCTACTCCAAGGCACAATACTTTCATTATATTTTTTTTCAATCACTCAACCCTAAATCAAATCGATAATCCTTAAGAACTTCTTTGTTGTTTGAGATATTACCAACATTCCAAATGCCGTGATATTTTTATTTAAAAAAGTGGAGTGGAATAATTTTTAAAAACATTATACTGTCATAACATATTCCAATAGCCCCTTTGATTCCTACACATCCTTCAATCAGGATGGAGCTCAAACCCACAAGGGGAAATGGTAATTTGGTCTAATAAGTTGATCAAAATTGACTGTTACTTTTAAGTACTGCTGGTAAGCCCCTGTCACTTACCCCTAAGAAATTATAAATAGATAGGCCAATAGTAATTATGGCTATCATGTTTTAGATAGATAGCCAACAATATACCCATGCCACCAGAAAATAAAAAGCTAGCCACCTTTCAGTTAAAGAGTACTTACCATCTTAAGCTATGAAATGACCATTAGTAACTTTAAAATCAAAATTTCAAGTTGAAAATTTGAATTTAAGTTAGTTCATTAAAAAAGCAAGGGTAGGTTCCAAAAAGTGGAGTAATGTTGATTTTCAGATATGCTGTATGTATTGATTCTTTCATTAAAAATCGAAGTATTCAACCTTACACTTGTAAGGGTGAGGGGAGAGAGAGAGAAACGAATCTGGCAAGTGGGCCTACTGGTCCTTTTTGCCAAACTTCAACCTCCCACGCCTTGTAATTTTTATGCCATCTTGAGAAAACCTCTAAAAAAAGTAATTTTTTTCAGTTTTTCCTCAATAACTCACTTCCAGTTCATTAAAGCCAAAAATATATTATACTAAAATTAAAGAACATTAGAGTTTCTGCATGTTTTAAAGGCAATATGTTGGAAAATTTAGAACAGCTACTGTGATATGAGGCTGTTAAAATCAGCAAACATTTTAACAAAAAGATAAATGTCTGTATATGAATCATGATACAATTATATGGCATTATTTGGTATTTGTGATAAAAAGTATCAAGTACAGTTGAGAAACAGCAACAACTTGTCACTGGCTGCCACTATCCATCTCAAATAAATAATATCAATAAGGAAATGGTATTTTTGTATCGGCATTATATAAATTATAAAAAAGAATATTAATAATAAAATATATTATATTATTAATGATTAAACTCATTTTAACCTAGTAATGAAACTGTCTCCCTACCTTTGACAGCAGCTTTTCCAAAGCTTTGCAAAATGAATTTCTCATTATGGATTTCTATTACACCATTTGACATGAGTAGATCAAGAGTATTCTGAAGATATTGTTCAATATTAATGCCTAATAATTTTGACTGCATATATAAAAGAGATTTTTTCATCACATCAATCATTGAATTTTTATCTGCCATTAGTTCCAAAGATATTAAACTCATTACGAAACAAGAAAAATCATTATTTTGCAATTGGCTACAACATCTTTCCATTTTTGAAGATAATAGGTGTCCAACCTGAAACAAAAGATCAATACTACATACTATGTTTAATCATTATTATTGTACTCATAGGTGCTGGTACCGGGAGGGGAAGGAGAGGCATTTTCTGCCTCTAAATATTCTATAAAGGGAGCCAGCCCCTCGAATATTTTTCAGTCATTTCATTAAAAATAACTCACAAAAAGTTCAATAAACCGTAATAGTAATAATTACATAATAAAAAATGTTTGCAAAGAGAACCTAGTATAGCTTCCATACCATTTTCACTAATTCCACTTTTATCTATATCTCAAGGTCAAAACTTTTTCAATTGTGCATAAAATCTTCAGGAGAAGCCATATTCGTAAAGTAATCCCAGTAATCCTACAACATTCACGGATTTAATATAAAATTTTAATCATCAGCGAATACAATTATATGAAAGAGTTCCACATTTGCGAATTGCGCACTTGACTCTTCGGTATAACAAAAAAAAGCACAAGCTTCACATCGATTTGATTACAGACAGACAAACACCGAATCAAATTTGATCCTTATGTCTGAAATATAAAACGTGAATGAAAATTCTCGATTCTGACCACAACAAAATTTTTAAACCTCCTGCACGAATACAAAGCTTTTCTACCTTTGGTAGTAGAGAAGCAAAGAACAAAAAACCAGTACCACTACAACCCATGGAGGGTCTTGGGTTCAGTTTTTTGTAAGGAATTACTGTTTCTTGGTCAACAATTGTACAAGGAGGTGATTTGACTGAGATTATGCTCAACCACCAGGTTTTCCCTTAATTAATTATTTTTAATTAAGAGTACCCACATTATAGGGGCTGCATGAACCCCAGAAAGGTCTCCTGACCCCAGGCTCAATCCATGGCCAATGAAACAGAATAAATAATTTATCTACCATCGGCAAGATTCAAACTTGGGAACTTGAGTATTGGAAGTCAGCACCCTACCATTGAGATACCCCACTCCCTAATAATTAAATAATATCACAAGTAATAAACTAATTACAGAGTTACTCCTTATTCATAGTGTTCTATATCCCTTTCCCCTCCCACGCACTGTATACTCCTAACATGATACACTAACCTTTGCCCCCTCAATATTTCTTGGGTAGTGGTGATTAAATGATTATGCTTACAAGAGGAGACTATAGACAAAGGATCGTCGATTTCAATTAATTTTTTTTTCATAGACATCAGGTAAATATTCTAAAAAGGATATAACTTCAACAATTTTTTACATTATTGTTGTCAGCCTTTGCTGACTTATTTCAATATAGCCTTTGCGTTTATTTCAAGGTTATGTTGTTTTTTTCTTTCATAAAAAGTTTCACAATAAAAAAAAAATCACTGATCGCATTACATAAGTTTAAAGGTGCAATAAAGGTTCATTTTTGTTTATATTGTTCAAAACAAGTTTCTATTAAAACCAACAAGTCAACAAATGGTGCAGATTATACAAGATTTCCGACTACCAATCTCCCAACTGCTTCCAGCAGTGTCAGATACCACAGTATGTAAATGTTTGTATATAACTGGTGTGTTTGGACAAAATCGGCAAACCGGAAGTGGCACTTTATATTATATTTTTATACGACCGATTGTACACATCTTTAAGATTTTCTCAAAAACGGCTCAAATGATTTTCATTAAATTCATTATATCAATGTAAAATTAAGAGGGTTTTTAATATAATGTAGGTTTTATTCTCATTTATGTTCTCTAACAGGGCTTAAATGGCTAATTTTCAATATTTCTTCCTCTAAAGTACCTTTAATTTTTTTATTTGAAATAATTAACCATTTCACAATTAACTGTGATATAAACAATAGTAAAATATAAAATATGAAAGAATTAGATAATTAGCTAAAGGGGAAATAAGAGATTGTAACGAAGAATAGTTGTAATAGAGGGATCAAACGAATACGAGCGCACCCGAAAGATTAGAACAGGCTTCCATATGTAACATGATCTTAATATAATACAGACTTCAACAATATTATATACATAAACATATGTGGTTTTCATAAATGCTATCACTTATATTACTTAATATTTAATTGTAAATATTACAGCGATATAAAAATTAAAATTTGTATATATACCAGTGCTTAAACAATTAAAAATACCCACAATGAAATATAAATAAATATAGTAGCCTTCTTTATCAGAGGCACTCTTGTTGCCCTAGGTTAGGACCCGGTACCTAAACAATGATTCCCACTTCCTCTGTACCAAATAGTGTACTTTCCTTCCCTCATCGAGCCCTCCCCTGGCCAGTGAACCTCTTGCAGAGCCACAACATCCAAATTGTACCCATTAATCTCATTCCCGACCGATTTTAGCCCTCCTGCTGTATTTAAACTCCTTACGTTCCATGTACCAATATTTAAATCCATATTTTTCAACTTGCACCATGAATCCCCTAAAGCAGTCCCCACCCGGAGACCCTAACGGGAGACTAGTTTACCTCCGGATAATGAGCGTTTTACCTTAGGGAGATCCATGACTATTTGTTGTGTATGGTGAACTAAAGATATGAAATAGAATCAAATTATTCCTTTCCATTTCTTGATCTCCTCATTTCCAGAAATAATGATAATACCTTATCCAATTGGTACACCAAACCTACCTACTCCGGCCGTCTCCTAAACTATTTTTCCCAACACACTTACCACCAAAAAATCAGTGTAGCTAAAAACCTGATACACCGCAGACTAACATTAATCAATCTGCAATTCCACAATAACCAAACCAAACTACACAAGATCCTGAAATCCAACGCCTTTCCTGATCACATTATAAAAAATCTGATCATAAATCAATTTAAACCCCATCTTCACCAGTCTTCCATAAACTGCTCTCAGTCTCCCACCACGATTCGCCAATACAGATCCATTCCACCCATCCCAGTCCTATCTCAAAAAATCAAAAAAGCTTTAACTTCCAAATTCTCCCATCTATAAATAGTTTTCAAAAATAACAGTAAATTAAGAAATTTAAAATGGTGCTATACACCAAACTCAAAGATCCTGTTCAGCTCCTACAACAATCAAATATTTTATACCATATCACATGCTCTAGCCCAAACTGCAATTTTTCTTATATAGGAGAAACCAAAAACTATTTAAAAAAACGAATGTATCAACACAAATACAGGATCTCCACACGAAACTAGTTCGGCTTGAAACTAGCGGAACACGCTATAACCCTCAACCACACATTTGATTTTGAAAACCCAACTATACTTGTCACAGTTCCCAACTACCAAAAACGACTACTTTCGGAAGCTATATTCATTAATTTGGAAAAAAATAATCCGGTAAACCACAAAGTAGACAAAGAAAAGATCTGCAACACATATTTGAATATTTTCCGCCTTCTAAAACAATAGTTGATAATCATTTAAATTTTGTTTTTCATCTTTCCACATTTCCCCGTCAACTTACATAGGTAAATACTCCGAAGGTTATTTTATATATATACATATATATATATATATATATATATATATATATATATATATATATATATATTATATATATATATATATATATATATATATATATATATATATATATATATATATACATATAATGTTCATTCTCAATATAAATATATGCTATAAACAGGCATGTTTATACTTATACTACAAAAACTATGTAATCCTTAATATAATACACACTTCTATTATGATTAATATTCTTATTCTTAAAATATTGTATAATATATTTTCCTACGCATCATTTCAATCCATTATAATTGTATTTATTATAAATTTTATTTGGCTAACCATTGTACACTTTTAATCAAACTATGTTATATTTATATTGATTGGCATCTCTTGCTTATGTTCATTTCATTACTAGCCAATAGTCACAATTCTGTAACCATAAGAAACAACACAAATATTGTATACATCTGAAATATTTAGTCAGCAAATTATTTACATTCTACAAACAGAAATGTTACCTCCCTTCCCCTCTGACTATGTTTACCTACCTTTTGCAATCTGAAAAAGGACAACTGGGAAATCCTCCCCTCCCTTACCTTTTCACTTACCTACCAAATGTGTCAGTACTTGAATACCCTCAGTGCTCAAACCACGGTTAGTAAGAGAAAATATTACAAATTTGTATAAATGGATTATATACATTATTTTTAATTTTAGTTTGTATAACTATTTACATATTTCATTTTTAATATGTGTATTGTAATATTAGTTAAGATTCATGTACCATCAATCACTATAGTTTATTATTTATCATTATCGGTCGTATAATATTATATCTCTGATTGTAAAATTTTCAGTGCTGAAGATGACCCACCCACATGTTTGGGTTGAAACGTTGGCACAAATAAAAAATTACAAATTTTTTTGTAAAAAAGACTAGGTCATATCACCCATGATATGTAGAACAGTCGACTAGCTTCCTTCAATGATAATTAATTATTTTGAATAATGTTTCATACCGTCTTTAATTTTTACTTTTACTTCCCTCTGCCTGAAAATACTTTTTATATATATAATAAATTTATTCTAACGATACTATAACTCACTAAATCACTTATATTATCTTAAATTTCTTTAGTAGTTAACCTTCAGTTTCTTTATCTGATAACCTACAGTTATCAAGTGTACTAGTTTGTTATCAACTGATATCTAATTTTTATTTTATCACAATTTGTTTACATTTTAACTTACATGCTGAATTCACCTTAATTTTTTTGAATTGTCAGTTATTATATATATATATAGTATTAAATTTAAACTTCACTATTTAATTGGGAATAAGGTCACTTAATTATTATTTAATAAACTAATGAATGTTCATGAATGAGAGTAGCTTAATATATATGCTAGTGGACGGTGCTGAGACTGTCGGTGTGTCCCTGGCCTGATCGAAGCTCTATTTTTTAAAATTCTAGCTTTGAAGAGGATCCCATGGTTGACTAATAAAAAGAAAATACCAGGATCGAAACGTCAATAAACAGAAGAAATGAACATTCATTAGTTTATTAAATAATAATTAAGTGACCTTATTCCCAATTAAATAGTGAAGTTTAAATATATATATAAATATATATATATATATATATATATATATATGCATAACCTGTACCACTATAATCCATGAAGGGTCTTGGGTGCAGTACTATGTTAGGAAGTACTGTTACAAGGCCCAATGGTTGTTAGGGAAGTGATTGGACCTGGACCTGGACCTGGACTGAGGAGAGGTTACCTCTGAAATGGAAGGAGACAGTGATTTGCCCAATATACAAGAAAGGAGATACTCTGTCTTGTAACAATTACAAAAATCCTTACTTCCTTGTGCTTACAAGATTTTATCCATTGTCTTGTTCAACCGGTTGCTGAGATTAGTGTTGCCCAAAATTGGTCTTGCACTTTTGCCAGTCAAGACCAAGACCACAAAAATTTTTGCAAGACCAGACCCTACTAGTCTTGCGCAAGACCAAGACCAAACCCTGCTGGTCTTGCAGTTCAGTCAAACTGAGACTATTTTCAGATATAGTATGGTGCTTAAACATTTTAATCATCTAATCTAAACAGCGTTGTTTTTTTTCTTGTGGAATTGTATATTTGAGTATAGCTTTCCAAATAATAATAAAAAATTAATCTTTTTTTTGTTCTCCCCTACCTCGCCTTTTAGGTTATACGGGGTTTTCGCGGGCCATGGATGAGGGCGGGGATTAATGCCAGAGTTAAAAGATCCCCAGCGGGTACAACAATTATTTTATTGTCTCTAACTTCGGTTATCAGGTTGCCGGGCAACGCGCAGTGCTGTGCACAATCGTTAGTCCGCTCGGCCACCCCGCCCCTAAAAATTAATCATTTGCCAGGACCGGAGCAAGATAAGAAAACAAAACATGAATAAAAATTAAGACTAAATGGTTACTAATACTAGCCCATTTTAGTTACTATAATGAAACTTCTCCTCAAAGAAAGCGGACACTCACAGGAATCAAAAATTGCCCTCTATAGAGAGATGTTCGTTTTAGAAAAATTGGAAGAAAAACAAGTTAAAAAATAACAATTAGAAAACTTAAATTGTATTTTAAAATTTATATCCTGAAAATAAAATCGTTTATTAGATTAAAAACATTTTTCTTTTTAAATTTACTATTTAAAAATATTTTTATGAGAAATTTAATAATATATTTTGCATAATAAAATTGCACATAAGAAATGTAAACTTTTTTTTATGTAGAAAAAAAATAATAGTAATTTGTAATTTTTGTTTGGACTAGCGTAACTATTTCCAAATTGTTATGAAAAGATAAAATCGTTACAATTATTCCACTTCCTCCTTCAAAATAAAAGTGTTTCTCAGCCAACTAATTTGTGAGAAACTTTTTAATATTCACTCGAGATCCGAAATGTATCATCAGCTCAAAGGTCCACCGCGAGTATAATTGTTCGAAATGATTTATTCGATGTTGTTGATAATGATGATTCGAGGAGGTTAAGATACAAGCCTGGTGAAATCATTCATGTACAACGGCATAACTCGAAAGAAATTATTTCTTTGCATTGATCATTTCTGTGTTTGGCCCGCTGTTCGTAGTATTCGTTATTTATTTAACATTTCTAACCACCAAGTTTTAATCGAGTGTCTAAATTGCAAATACTGAACTTTCTGATACACTAATTAATTACACACCTTTTTCTTTGAAATTTGACCGGAACCATGTTGACACATTATAATCAAATGTGTGTAAATGACAACAAAGGGTTAAGACTAAATTCTATTTCAAAACCGGATTCCTTGGTGGAACTAAGCGACAGGAAAGGGGATTAATGTTCTCAGAATATGAGCTTCACAAGTTCCGTATAGTCATCCCTAACTGGATATTTTTGGCTATAATTCTATAAATCTATTTTCCTTGTTTTTTCGTTGCTATTATGTGAGCAATGAATATATAATCAAAAATAATATATGAAAATACAAAAATAAAAATTTTTGGATTTTATACAGTGTTTTGGGATCTTTTCTGCCTATCAATTCGACCACTTAGGATGGGTAGACTTAAATTGTTTATATCATGTAAAAATCTATTTTATTATAAGAAAAGAAACAAACATCTTCAATTAAGTAAAAATTTTGAAGTTTAAAGTGTATTTTTGGAATTTTGTCTGAGCTTTAAATCAAACCAATTAGGATGGACAGATGAAGTTTTTTCTATCAAGTAAAAATCTATTTTACTATAAGAAACTAAATAAACGTCTTCATATAATATATTTTAGCATTTTTAGTGACCTTTAGAAAGGCCGCCATTATGGATTTTGAACAGACTACTGGTCTACTAGGAGACGACATGGTCGCATTCATTGCAGTTGTGGTCTCAGTCTGTCAGTACAAAGCAGTGGCTTATCAAAGGCAGGCTGCATTTTTAATTACCAATGAAAATGTTATTTCCTTCTCTTAAACCAAATAATTTCATGTAGTATAATTTCAAGCTTCCTGAAATAGGTGAATTTTGATTTATAAAATAGCAATGTTTTAATTAGAGTCTGCTATTAGATTGCTGTGGCCTAAAAAAAGGCAGACACTATTATTTCTTCCCTTTATCACACACATTCATCGCAGTTATAATTTCAAGGCTCCTAAGATTGGTAAATTTATTACCCCAAAGTTGCAAATTTTTTAAATTAAGCCTGTCAAAGGATAGCATTGGCACATAGGATAGGCAGGCTTCTCAAAAACTACAGCTTTTAGGAGAAAGATCCATTTATTTAAGTTTCATCTAGCCTGCAATGAGGGCTATTTTTGTCATATTTGGGCCTCTTGGCTTTTCAATGGCAGACAAAGCTTATTTTAGTTAAAATACTATACACTTTCAAAATTTACATTCAAACCTTCACTTGTGTTGAGGTCCCTTTTTGGCTCTAGCTCCAGAACTAATAGCCCAAGATAGGCAGAGAGATAGAAGAGATAGAAGAGAGAGAGAGAGAGGGAGAGGGAGAGGGAGAGGGAGAGGGAGAGGGAGAGGGAGAGGGAGAGGGAGAGGGAGAGGGAGAGGGAGAGGGAGAGGGAGAGGGAGAGGGAGAGGGAGAGGGAGAGGGAGAGGGAGAGGGAGAGGAGAGGGAGAGGGAGAGGGAGAGGGAGAGGGAGAGGGAGAGGGAGAGGAGAGGGAGAGGGAGAGGGAGAGGGAGAGAGAGAGAGAGAGAGAGAGAGAGAGAGAGAGAGAGAGAGAGAGAGAGAGAGAGAGGGAGAGAGAGAGAGAGAGGGAGAGGGAGAGGGAGAGGGAGAGGGAGAGGGAGAGGGAGAGGGAGAGGGAGAGGGAGAGGGAGAGGGAGAGGGAGAGGGAGAGAGAGAGAGAGAGAGAGAGAGAGAGAGAGAGAGAGAGAGAGAGGGCTGGTTAAGACGGGCAAAAGATCTACAAGGTCCATAAAACAAAAAAAATATATGTATCCCTTTATATACGATTTTTTTAATTATTTACCTTTTCAGTATCTGATGGCTGACAAATTAAAAAGCTTTCACCACTACTTTCCAAGCCTGCTCTTCCTGCTCGCCCAATCATTTGTCTATATTGACTCAATGTAATAAATGATTTTCCAACATAAGGGGATCGAATAATAACCTAGAAAAAAAAAATGAAATAGTTAATTATTTTCAAAAATGAAATAATATAAGACTATTAAGGGGAGTGGGATAGCTCAATGGTAGGGTACTGAGCTTCCAATGCTAAAGGTCCCAGGTTCGAATCCCGGCTCATGGCAAAAAATTATTTATTCTGTTTCATTGGCCGTGGGGTGACCCTGGGTAGGTAAACTCTCCTGGGGCACACCTAGCCTCTATTAAGTGGGCACCCTTAATTAAAAATAATTAATTAAGTTGATGCCCATAATTAAAAATAATTCAGTTGATAACCTTAATTAAAAATAATTAAGTTGATAACCTTAATTTAAAATAATTAAGTTGGTACCTTTAATTAAAAATAATTAATTCAGTGGAAAAAACCTGGTAGTTGAGCGTGATCTCGGTCAAATCACCTCCTTGCACAACCGTAGACCAAGAAACAGTGCTTTTCCTAAATAGTACTGAACCCAAGACTCTTCATGGGTTGTAGCGATACAGGTTATAAGACTATTAAATATATTTCAATTTGTGTAATGAAAAGTTAAAGTAAAATTAATTCTATAAATATCGGATTATGATTCCGAGGAGTCTGAAAAGAAAATGACCACTACACCTAAGTTAAAATATTAATTTAAGTATTCTCTCTATTCAAAATCCAATAGATACTTATAAATATTATGCAGACTATGCTCTCTTGGTTACAGAAGCATTATAACTTGGACTTACCCAAAAATACTGAGCATATTAACTAAGTAAGAATTCTTCAAAATACAAATTGATAAAAAATAAAATATAAAGTAATAAATTAGAATAAAATTAATTACTTTTTAATGGTAAATGTAAAGAAAATATTGAAATATACATTCTATAATGAAGTTAGATGATCCTGAAGATGAGAAAAGATCCTTGAAACATCAATATATTGGCTTGTCCGGAAAATAATGCAGGATTTTGAGTTTTCTTTAACATACTCCTCTATATAACAAACTGTTTACTGGATCATTCATTTGTATGAATGTCAACACTTATTAATCCTCTCCAACAAGCTTATTACAGTTCATAGAGACTGCAGGAATTACACTCTAACTGAAGTCACTTCAAACTAGGCGTAGTACACTGGCAAACTAGCCATAGTGCACTCTTGCCATAAAAAAAAAAAAAAAAAAAATTAATCCTCTTACAAACGATAATGTTTGTTTATTGGGCAGCAAAAGAAAGAATATATACAAATATTTGAAAGAATTCAGTCTTTACTAAGATGTCAATGCCTGATTTTCGTATAATTTTGTTTTACGAGTTTAAACTTGGCCAGAAACATCAATCAAGTCACAAACGAGAGCAGCATTAATGCTTGCACTGTTCAAAACATTTTCGGAGGAATACTTCACCCTAAAAGACAAAGAAGGTCGTGGAAAGACTTCTTCTCTTGATGACGATGTTCTGCGGGCTTTGGCGGGAAAAAACCCAGAACACCTGTCCGAGAACTTGCAGGGAAAATTAACCTTAGAAAATCGACTGTCGATAACCAATTTTGACCAAGGCAATTGGTAAAGGTCAAAAAGCTTGAAAGCTGAGTTCCGCACACATTAAATGATCGCCAAAAAAACCAGCATTATGAACTTTGTGCTACACTTCTTTGCTGAAACAAAAATTATTCTTTTCTCCCCAGATGAAAAGTGGATACTTTACTATAACAGTGGACGTTCTGGGCAGTGGTTCAACAAAGGAGAAGCAGCAGAACATTTTCCAAAGCCCCAACTTATCAAAAAAAGGTGATGATTACTGTTGGGCTTCATTTGGTTTGATACACTACAGCTTCTTAAATCCTGGAGAAATCATCAATGGTGAATTGTATTGTAACCAAATTAATGCAATGCATCAGAAATTGGCAATAATGAAGCCATCTTTGGTCAATCGGAAGGGACCCATTTTGTTGCATGACAACGCCCGGCCACATGTCTCACGTGTGACGTCACAAAAATTGTTGGAGCTTAGATATGAAACTCTGCCACATCTTAATCTCCGGACTTCTCGTCTAAGGATTATCATTTTTTAGACACCTGGACCAATACTTAAGTGACAAAAAATTTAATGAGCAAAGGGAATAAAACATGCGTTTTTGGAGTTTATCAATTCTTCTTCTTCTCTCACTATCTCCTGTGTCCTGCAAATTAGGCAGCAAGTAGCTGCCTCTGACCATCTTGTCCAACGGTCTCTGTCCTGTGCAAGCCTTCTCATCTCTGACATGGTGCTTCCTCTCGCTGTGCCAATTCTCTCAATCAAGTCTCCATACGTAAGCCTTGATCTGCCTTGAGGTCACCTTCCTCCCAGTCTTGCTTCTAGAAGCCACCTGGCCTTACGGTCATCTCCCATTCTGTTAACATGCCCATACCACTTCAATTGCCTTTCTTGAATCGTCTCTAGGACGGATCTAACTCCTAGTCCATCTCACACCTTTTCATTCCTTATTCGATCTCGCCTGGTTTCTCCTAATATTTTCCGTATGAATCTCATTTCTGCAGATACAACCTTGCTGGCATGGCGGTCCAAGAGTGTCCAGCTTTCCGATCTGTATAGCAGCACTGGGAGAAAAACTGATTTGAATAGCAGAATCTTGTCATGAATAGTGTCATGGATATTTGGAAGTATATTCCATTGGCCTTTTGGACTCTATTCATGACCTCCTGGTCTATTCTTCCATCCTTGCCAATCATTGTTCCCAGGTAGCAGTAGGTATCAATTTGTTAAAGGGTCTCTCCATTGCAAGTGATTCTAAGATCCTCGTTCCATATTCCATTATTGAAAATGAAATGAAATGAAAAAAATGTTTTATTATTCTGGGACTGTTGTCCCTTAAGAACAAAATATGAATACAGATTATATGTCTGTGTGGCTACAATTGAATTATATATTTACAATGAAAGTTGACTTACGATAAAAATACAGAAAAGAGAAAAAAAAGAACAAGTAAATTGTACATATGTATGAGAAACTAAAATAACCTTAATAAATTGAGGTACTCTCTGGTGGTGCTCAGATATTTCTCTGAGATATATTTCACAATCATTCGGATTGAGAAAGGAGTAGGTGCTTAAAGAGGAGTGGTTTAAACGAGGAAACTGATTGAGCGTGTCGAATATCAGGTGGGATGGAATTCCAGAGGGAGGCGGCTTGTATTGCAAAGGATTTGTCAAACGCAGCAGTTCGGTGAGGAGGAGGATAGAGGTCGGAAGTACGAGATCTGGTGGGACGGGATTGGATGGAATATTTGAATTGTAAGCTGTGAAAAATGTAGGAGGGTCGATGGGTTCTAATAATTTGGTACAGAAAGGTGGCTAGGAAGTACTGACGGCGATAGGATGGGTAGAGCCACCTCAACTCAGTGTAATACTGGGTAATATGCGTATCCCTTGAGATTCCGAAAACAAATCGTAGTGCGCAATTCATTAGGCGTTTAAGTTTGGCCTCGGAATCTCCCGGGAGTCCACCGTACACCATACAGCCGTAGTCGAAGTGGGGGAAAACAAGGGAGGAAACTAGGAGTTGACGGGACTTATATGGAAGGAGATATCGTAGACGATTGAACTGTTTTAGGGTGGAGATAGTGCGACGGGAAATTTGGGAGATGTGAGGTTTCCAGGATAGGGATTGATCGAAAGTAACACCTAGGTTTTTAACGGTGGTGTAGAATAAGATAGGTGAGTTGTTCAGGAAGAGATTGGGAGATACTGGGGAGGATTTGAGGAGTGAAGGGGATCCGATCAAGATGGCTTTTGTCTTCTCGGCGTTCAGAGTGAGCCTATTGAGGTTTGCCCAAGCACTTATTCTGTCAATATCTTCCTGAAGTTTTTGAGTGGCATCTGAGATATCTGTCGGATTAAAGGAGAGGTAAATTTGAATGTCGTCGGCATACAGGTGGTAATGACAGTGCAGGATAGAGGATGGGAGGTCATTTATATAGATGGAGAAAAGGGTGGGGGATAAGGAAGAGCCTTGTGGGACGCCTCTGGTCAGAGGTAGAGATTCTGATGGTGGGTTATTAGGAATTACAACGTACTGGGAGCGACCGGTTAGGAAGGATTGGAACCAATTAAGGGAACTAGAAGAAAAAGAGATATTTTTAAGTTTGGTTAGGAGGATGTTGTGGTCTACTGAATCAAAAGCTTTGGAGAAGTCTAGGAGAATAAGGATGGTTAGTTTCTGCTGATCTATGGCTGTGTGAAGGTCTTGGGAAATTTTGATTAGGGCAGACTGAGTAGAATAACCAGGCCTGAATCCAGACTGGTAGGGATTTAGGAGATTATTGTCCTCTAAAAAATGGGATAGCTGGGATTGGACTAACCGCTCTAATGGTTTTGAGAGGTTTGAAAGGAGGGAAATCGGTCGGAAATCATTAGGAACTGATGGGTTTGAAGTCTTCTTCAATGGGCGTACTAGGGCGGTTTTCCAGGATGTAGGGAAGGTAGCATTTTGAAGAGAATAATTGTATATATGATAAAGGATCGGAAGAATGGATGGCAATGCGGCTTTAATCAGTCTGACTGGGATGTTGTCGGGACCGTAATCATTGGTATGGGACTTCTGAATGGATTTAAGGAGCTCATCTGGTGTAATATGGGAAAGAAAGAAGTGATCAGGATTAAAGGAAGAGAACATAGGAGCCAGACTGGACGTGGGAGATGTGGATGCAAGAGGACAGGAGACAAAGTGAGCGTTGAGGTTATCAGCAGAAACGGAATTGGACTGAGACTGGGGTGTATTACCAATGGTCAGTTTTCTAAGAATAGCCCACGTAGCCTTGGTATTGGGAGAGTTGGATAGGGAATGATGGTAGTAACGGGATTTAGCACGGCGTACTGCTGATTGAGTGCTATTTCGAAGCTGTTTGTAGGAGAGAAAATCATCAGGAAGTCGAGTTCGTTTAAACCGTCGCCTTGCAGCATCTCTTTCTCTCATACACTCCCTCAAAGCAGGGGTAAGCCAAGGAGCTGGAGGATATCG